AGCTTTGATTGTCCAGAAAATTTTGTTTTTGATAAGATACCTATAGATCCAGTCCACCCACAAGCTCCTACCTTTAGAACAAATCTTCCAAATATGTTTAAGGTTTGAAAGTCTATTGGTCATTTAATTAATCTTTCAATTTATTGCTTATATAAGGAGAGCTCACCATGAGAGGCTCTCATGATAGCATTAGTCTTCTCATTTTCATATTCATCAAATAAAATGGAAGTGGTTTTGAGTAACTATATAATAGTGATCTTTTATTCACCGTGAAGCAAGAAATTTTTACCACTGAATTGAATTAAATCCAACGATACTACAAATCTACCTTTCTACCTTCCTTGCTAATCCAACAAAACCAATTTTCTACCCATTTAGAGTTTCCTAAACCACTTTTCTCCATATTTAAGGTTTACTAAATTGATATTATCAAAAAAAAATCTTAGTATACATTAATATTTCTATTTTAAAAACTTTTGACAACCCATTCCATTTTCGATAAAATATTGTTATCAATGAAAAGAATTAAAATATTGTTTTATGCTTTTCGTTTTTGGGAATTAAAATTGATTTACTATACATTGATATTGTTGGCACATTACTTTGTTTTTAATCATTTTTTTGAATTCTTTGATTTTTTTCTTAATTTCAACCGTTTATTATTTCAATTCAGTAAGACGAGACACGAAAAAAATTCTATTGGATTTTTATCTTTTCGAAAAAAACTTCTATTGGATTTATATATTCTCGAAAAAAATTCAGCATGTACATTTTCTTTTATTATTTACAAGTTATTTCCAAAAAGTGACTTGGATGAAAACGTTTTAGCCCCTAGAGTGAGAAAACAAAGGAAATGACTTTTATATGTTTTATCTTTTCTTCATAAATTTGAGAAACATTTGCACTCTGAAAAAGTAAAAACACATTATTAAGGGCATGTTTGAAATGTGTTATGAAATTGTTTTTTTGATATTGGTCTTTAAATTTGGGCCTATATCATGTTTGGGAGGACTGATATTAGTTTAGAATAGTTCATAACATATCATATTTTTTTGCCCAAGTTCATATCACCAAATTGGTGATATTGTATATTTTGGTGCTGCAGCAAAATAAATTTTCTTTACCAAAAAGGATTCCAATTTCTACCCAAAACACTAAATACAATAAAAGGATTGTTTTGGTAGCCTAAAACGACCCTAAACATTTTTTCTGTTTTTATTTTGCATTCTTAGAAAATAAAAACAGAAAACAAAAAATATTTCTGGTTAGTAAACACACCCCAAGTGTTTCATTATCTCTATAGCTAGTGTACGTATATATAAAAGTGGGAAAACCCCAGCATTAAATCTAGAAAAAGAAAAACCCTAGCTACACTAGCACACACCACCCGTCGACCTCATCAATTTCTCTCTATGTTCATTTCAGAATGGCTTTCCTGTCAAAACTCTCTCTCCAGACGGAACAAATGGAGGCTTTTAAACGGTACATGTGTTGTTTTCTATCCTTGGTTTCTCTCGTTCTTGCCTATGCTTTCTATAAGGCCAGTAGTCTCTTCCATAACTACGTCGGAAAATGGCTGGAGAGCCAAAGAGTCTTAGAACCATGGATCTACATTGTGGAACTCTCCATCATCATGGGCTATGCTATTGTGCTATTTCTTCTCACCATGTTGAGGTGGCCACCACCGAAGTCTGTGAAAATCCACTGGTTCATTAGGTATTTGATGGATTTGGGTTTTGTGTTAGTGTGCCATTTTATTTCTCAACATTGCGAGGATGACAAGTCTTTGATAGCTTCTCCTCTTATTTGGTTCCACATAATACCAGCTTCTCAAGTGTTTCAGACAGTCGAAAATGTGGGGATATGTGATTGTCTAGTTGCTTCAGGTGTTGCGGTGGCTTTCAAATTGCAGAAACATCCTGAAAATGCTCCCACTGTAGTTATATGGATGTCATTCGGAATGCAGTTGGTGAAGCATGTGTTTTCTCCCGGAGAACCAAAGCCGCGCGGCTCCACGGTGGTTCAAGGCTTTCATGAGGACACACAGTTGCCGGGACGCTAGGAGAGAAGGGGAGACTAGTAAGGACAATTAAAGAGACTCGTGGATCTTAACCGGGGAAAAAAAAAAACAGATTTTCTCGCGGGAACCATGGTTCAAGGCACATAGATTCAAGAATTTCAAGTTGCTTGGAGCTAGAGTAAATTTTATCTTCTTTACTAGTGACATGTATATAGAGTACTCCATGCGTCCGTATGGTTTTGAATCTTCATGTCATCTTATTGGAAAAGTTTCAGAAACAATTACGGGACACCAGTGCCAGTCACTGTTGGAGGAATAAAACATGTTCTATTTTCAAAAGCCAGGTAAAGCCAAATTATATATATATATATATATATATATATATATATATATGTACAAATTAAATCTTAACCATTAAATATAAAAAAAAAAATTATTTTTTAATTGTTCAATAAAATTTAACGATTAATATTCAAGGTGTGTATATATTTTTCTGCATGAAAGAGAGTAAGTGAACAATTTTGATATATATATATATATATATATATATATATATATATATATATATATAACGTAAATGATAACACGAACCATGTATTTCATGCCATGTAACTGCACATGAGCTAGTACTCCTAAGGCTCTAAAATAATTTCAGTTACGTCTCTAACATATAGTTTCAACTCTCAAGCCTCTAAAATAAAAGAAAAATGAACACAGACAGCTAGGTTTTTTTTTGGTCCTATATACACAGATATATGTGGTTTTTTTTTTTTGGGGGGGCCTTTCTAGCTCTTGTTTTCTCCAATGCTCAGTATTGGGTTTGGTTTTTGTACTGCATCTTTTATTTTGGGCCTTTCTTAGGCCCATCTGTAGATCTTATTATTAACCAATATATTTGCTTTATCGTTCTCGAAAAAAAAAAAAAAAAAATTCAAAACAACAATAATCGATTTTTCCTATTATCTAATTTCCTGGATTTTTAAAATATATTTCAGTAAACCAGTAAAAAGACCACACAAGTCAATTAAATTTGCTTAAAAAAGCTACTTCCTCGGTATTGTGTGTGTGTGTATATATATGGTATATTTTTTCATAGGATAGGAAAATACTCCTAGTAAAAAGAAAAGCACTCAGGTACGTACTCAATTACTCTCACGGAGGGACTAGAAAAACACTCACGTGCCCAACTGCTCTTATGGAGGGACTTTAGATTAATTGCATTTGGATTTTTTTGATGTAGCATAGTTTTTCAACGCACTAAATCGTGTTTCAACTTATTTATTTTGAATTTCAACACATAAAAATGTATTGAAATACAAAATAATGGTTTTATTTTTTTATTTTTTTATTTTCTGAATGATTGAAATAATGACGTTGAACCTAAAAATAATAATATTGAATAGAAATTTTAACACAGTAAAATTGTGTTTTAACACATTTTTTATAAAAATTTTAATATATATTTATCAGTTAAAATATTTAAAAAAAAAATGTGTTAAAACACTAATTTAAGTGCGTTGAAAATATCTGCAATGCTTTACAATACGTCTTGAATTCCCTGCTCCGTTGGACAAGGGTGAAAACGAAAAACAAGTGAGGAAGACTATACTTTGAAGCAATTGACCTAGTTGTAGCCTGTGGCTCCTTTAACTCCAACAGAGAACATGGAGCTCCCATAGTTAGTCACAAAAACTAACCTTTACGTGGTGATGGTCAGAGAGTTAGGAGTTAGTGAGATTAGGTGAAGGGGTTTCGAACCCTAAGAGCATAAGGTGGAGGGCATTTAAGGCCTGACTCTTACCACTCGGATAGAATCGCAACACCTATTTACCTTTAAATTGATTAGCCAAAAACAGATTTCTCCCTATATTCTTTTTCAATCTGAGTAATAATTCTAATAAATCTTCAATGAACTCCTAATATATATATATATAAACAATTTTTTCTTTTAAGCATTTGAGCAATGTATAATTATTATTTCTCCTCCAATTTGTTATGTTGAAATATATAAATATTTTAATATTTCAACATGTTATATAGAAATATTTATATATTTTAACGTATTGTTAAAGTTATTTATTCTATCAAACACAATTCTAAATCATGCAAATAACTAAATATGTATTTAGATCGGATTGTTTACTGTATACTATTCCTTAGTTCCCCCCTATATATATTCAAATAAACAATTTTTTGTTTTAAACATTTGAGCAATGTATAATTATTATTTCTCCTCCAATTTGTTATGTTGAAATATATAAATATTTCAATATTTCAACATGTTATATAGAAATATTTATATATTTCAACATGTTATTAAAGTTATTTATTCTATCAAACACAATTTTAAATCATGCAAATAACTAATCGGATTGTTTACTGTATACTGTCCCCTATATATTTCAACATGTTATATAGAAATATTTATATATTTCAACATGTTATTAAAGTTATTTATTCTATCAAACACAATTCTAAATCATGCAAATAACTAATCGGATTGTTTACTGTATACTGTCCCCCACCCCCCCCCCCCCCCCCCCCCCCCTTCCTTTTTTGCACTTTTGGTAAAGGTAAATTTTATAGATCAAACATAAAAGCATATATGCTAATTTTATAGTTCAATTGATATACAAGGTAAATATTTATAGAAATCTTCTTCAGTCTTTCTAGATAAGCATAAATACTAATTTTAACTAAAGACTCACTCTCTCTCCCTTTAATGAATGTTTGCCTATCCATAATAAGTGGCCAACTTTTTGGACATTTGACGATTTATCTAAGACTGTGTTTAGTGCACCAAACCCTTGTAAATTAATGGTTGGCACGCCATAATAAGTGGCCAATTAAAATGGAAATTGCAATTATAAATAGTAGTATTTGTTCCATATAAATTGCAACTATTGCTGCTTAATAACATGGAAAATCAGATATTGTAAAACCAAAAGTTACATCCTTGTTTGATTCAAGTTAAGATCAAATGGATTCTCATCACAGTGGCATTGACCATCAGAAAAATCATGGTACTGGCGGTCATGGTACTGGCGGTCATGGTCTCTCATCTGGATATTCTGACCAACCCTTAGGCCATGCTACTAGTGGCGGTCATGGTAGTGGTGGTCATGGTACTGGCGGTCATGGTAGCGGTGGTCACGGTATGTCATCTGGATATTCTGACCAATCCTTAGGCCATGGTACTAATAGTGGTCATGGCAGTGGCAGTCATGGTAGTGGTGGTCACGGTCTATCGTCTGGATATTCTGACCAACCCTTAGGCCATGCTACTAGTGGTGGTCATGGCAGTGGCGGTCTTGGTGGTGATGGTCACAGTCTTTCATCTGGATATTCTAACCAACCCTTAGGCCATGCTACTAGTGGAAGTCATGGTAGTGGCAGTCATGGCAGTGGCGGTCACGGTTCTGGCAGTCACGGTCTCTCATCTGGATATACTAACCAACCCTTAGGCCATGCTACTAGTGGTGGCCATGGCAGTGGCGGTCATGGTACTGGAAGTCACGGTCTCTCATCTGGATATTCTGACCAACCCTTAGGCCATGCTACTAGTGGCGGTCATGGCAGTGGTGGTCATGGTACTAACAGTCACGATACTGGCAGTCACGGTCTCTCATCTGGATATTCTGACCAACCATTAGGCCATGCTACTAGTGGTGGTCATGGTAGTGGCAGTCATGGCACTGGCAGTCATGGTCTCTCATCTGGATATTCTGACCAACCCTTAGGCCATGCTACTAGTGGTGGTCATGGTCATTTATCCTCCATCGGCCAACCATTACAAAAACATGGTAGCGGTAGTGGTGATCATGGTTATTCATCTGGCCATGGCCATGCTAGTGCTGGCGATGGTGGTCACGGTTATTCATCTGGCGGTACTGGTGGTCATGGTCATTCATCCACTGATGATCATGTCAAACCACACAAACATTCTAGTGGTGATGGTTATTCATCTGGCCATAGCCATGGTGTTGGCGGTGGTGGGGATGGTTATTCATCTGGCCATGGCCATGCTAGTACTGGCGGTGGTGGTCATGGTCATGGTTATTCATCCTCTTCCGACCACTCAAAAAACCATGCTAGTGGTGGAGGTGGTGGTGGTCATGGTTATTGATCCCCACATGAAGACGAAGGCAAGGAACCTTAGAGGAAGATATATATTGTATTACTTTGAATAAAGCTTTGAGCTCTTACTCCTTTATATAATGCTAGGTGTTCTAATTTACTCCTTATTAACCATATGTCACATCAAAATAGAATTATAGGGTCAGTGCTCATGACTAAGAGAAATAAGAACAGTGAATGAAATTTTACTGGTGTAATTCACAGTTTCATCTTCTATGATTATCTATGTGTCGACTCATTCAAGTCATAGAAAACTATTTCATTTTTTATTGTATCATCTCACTTTTTCTCGGAATAGCTATATATACAATTATTATGTTCTTTTACATGCAAGATGCAACTTTAAAAATAAAAAAATAAAAAAATAATAAATAATAAATAATAAATAAATAAAAAAACACTTGTAAAATAGACGATCAATGTAGAGTGATATGTTCATAAAAATTGTAAATTTTTTGGTTTATTTTTTAAAGTTACATGATGATCGAACATGGTTTGTAACATCTAATAATATCTCATGCTTTGTAGTTCTTGTGTTCTCATGCACATCCATTGTTCAATAAATCAAAATCTACACATCATGCTCTATTATTGTTCAAGTCAGCAAATGCACATACATATAACAATGTTTTAAATAAATCAAAATATCATTAGCTAAAATATAAACCATCTAAAGAAAGGACAATCTTGTGACTGGACAACAAAGAGCACGTACCCAGAAATTCAACCATCAATGCTATCATTTTTATTTCGTCTTTCGTTTCATCAATGCAGCTGAGGACGTCAACCCAGAACCTAGAAGACGATTCAAGGACGTAGGGTTTAAGGATATGATACAATATCGAATCTCAATTACAAGAAAATGAAAGCAATTTTCGGATATCTCTATTCCAGAATCACTAACCATTTAATAATTTCTTTACATATACATCATAAACACGACCATGAGCAGACATATTTACAGACTATTGTCATATTCAAAAAGTAAGAAAGAGAAGCACTTCTCGAATTGAGAAAACAATGGCAGAATGTTGAGCTAGCTAGGTTTTGTGTGTGAGCATGTGTTTGTGTGTTCTCTCCTACAAACATATTTTAGTCATGTCTTATAACATTATATTAACACATGCATATATTATGGCTCTCCTCAATGTTATTTTATTCACCAATTTGTTTCATCAAGTAACATTCAATGGCATGATCAATTCCCTTGATCTTAGATGATAAACAATTAAATGACATCAAAGTATTTGTTTATTATCGAAATAAAATTTTCTGGGTCCAACTGTGTAGTAGGAACCAGTGCCTGGTAGAGGCAAAAATTACTACCACATCAGAAGTTTGTGCAGTATCAATTTACGCGATACGTCGCTTGTGAATTGGTGGATTTTCCATTTATAGAAGGGATAGCCCAAACAAAGATTTCAATTTCTTTGAGGTGTTTGGAAGGAAGGAAAAGAAGAAACAAAATAGGTGCCTGTACAAATTCTGGTGATGGTAGGCATAGTGGCATGCCTTACCACTTACCAGAGCTGCATAAGACGAAGCTCAGGTCACAGCCACTTAAATTATTTTTTCCACTAAGTATTCTCCAGTTCATGTTGCAAGTATTCTTCGTTATGTGTGTTTACTTTACCATTAAACATAAATAAAAATAAAAAATAAAATTCTTATATTCAATTTAATTTAATTTAAAGAATAATGGTATTACTTACCGTTCACACACTCGCATCCGTTGTGGTAATGGTAACGCGAGTGTGTCTCTGGTCGTAAAATTGGTTTTCCTAATTTGAAGGTCTCTCTCATGAATGTTTGCCTGTCCATAACAAGCGGTCAACTTGTAGACATTTGCGCGCCAATCCCTTGCCAATCATTTTTGACAGGTCCATAATAAGTGGCTAATTAACTTAATTGGTGGACATTTGGTTGGTTGTCATTTCATGGTAATGAGAATATATAAGCAGATTGATGCAACCAAATGCTAGCTCCTCCTTTCCTACATGATTTCACTCTTAAAAAGACTTGGAAAACAGATCCTGTAAAACCAAAAGGTTAACACTCTTGTTTGATATAGTTTCAGATAAAATGGATTCTACATTTGGGCATCACAATAGCACGAGCAAGCACAAGAATGGAAGAGATGAAGAGTACTCGCGACCGACAGGTTATAATGAGGATGAACCATTAGGAGGAGTAACCCACAAGAATCACAGCTCCCATGGAGGAGGAGGAGGTGCTAAATATTCTTCTCCTGATTCAGACTATTATGATCAGTCGTCGTCACGACCAAGTGGTCATGGTTACTCGTCTGCCTATTCTAACCAAGCAAAAAATCATGCCACCGGTGGTTATGGTTCCTCGTCTGCCTATTCTGACCCATCACAAGGCCATGCTGTTAGTGGTGGTCATGGTCACTCATCCGCCTATCCTGACCATTCAGAAGGCCACGCTGCTAGTGGTGGCTACGGTTCACAAGGCCATGCTACTAGTACTGGTGGTCATGGTTACTCATCCGCCTATCCTGATCAATCACACGGCAATGCTGCTAGTGGTGGTCATGGTTCACAAGGCCATGCTGCTGGCGGTCACGGTTACTCTTCCACCTATTCTGACCAACCACACGGCCATGCCGCCAGTGGTGGTCATGGTCACTCTTCTGCCTATTCTGACCAACCACACGGCCATGCTGTCAGTGGTGATCATGGTTACTCTTCTGCCTATCCTGACCAACCACACAGCCATGCTGCTAGTGGTGGCCACGGTTCACATGACCACGCTGCTAGTGGTGGTCATGGTTACTCTTCCACCTATTCTGACCAATCACACAACCATGCTGCTAGTGGTCATGGTTACTCTTCCGCCTATTCTGACCAACCACAAGGCCATGCTGGAGGTGACGGTGGTCATGGTTACTCATCCACCTACTCTAATCAACCAGAAGACTATGCGTCTCACCATGCATCACATAAAAGTGACCATCACGCCTCTAAGTCCTCATCCCTTCACGACACCCATTCCAAGGGCACCAATTTGACCAGCAAACCCACTGTTCAGGTATTCTGTAAGGCTAACACTGGTTACTCCCTCACCATCCGTAATGGCGAAGTCATTCTTGCACCATCTAATCCATCGGACGAATTCCAAGTATGTTTGCTTCTGATTCAACTTTATCTCCCTTTGTTCATCCTTTTGCTACTTAATTATATATATATATACCATTAGTCTGTCTAATCTTTGATTTGGTTATTGCAGCATTGGATCAAAGATGAGAAGTACAGCTCGAAAGTGGAGGATGAAGAGGGGTTTTCCAGTTTTGTTCTGATCAATAAAGCCACCGGTGAGGCCTTGAAGCACGCCAGTGGTGACACCAAACCAGTAAGCTCTTATATGAATATATATATATGTGCTAATTCCGGAGTTTTCATTTTCATAGGAGATTCATACTGATTACGAGGAAGTACATATAATATATCCATGCAGATTTATTCACTGGAAAAATTAAGAGAAAAAGAAAAAGTACATATAATCTATGCGGTAGGTGAAATTAGATTTTAGCATGTTTTCAGACCTATATATATTATATCATCTTGATAGCAACATATTAATCCACCATCAAAAGGGTGGAGAAAAAAAGAGAAAGGAACAAAGACTGATGATCAAGAGCATCACACATGATTTGTTCTTTCCTCTACCTTGGATTCAACTTTTTGTTTTGTTAATTATTTAGCGTAATACTAGCTCGAAAATTGAAGGGATTTTCTAATTTTTATAAATAGAAATTTCAAAATAAGTTTGAGACACGTCAATTAAATGAAATGTATCAAGCTTTGATATAAGATCATCCAAGCTTATATTATAATTTTGAAGAGTAGATATAGTATTAGAGTGTACCTATTTATCACGAGTCAGGTGATTCGAAAAAAAAAAAATATAAGATATTACGTGGTGCTAACACTCTTTTATATGTCCAAGACCCTCCATCCGATGTAATGTGAGAAAAGGATCCATGACAACTCAAGGAACTTGAGTAGCATACTAACATCATTCTCTGCCATTGATACATTGTTCAAGTTGCTTCCCTCCATTCTTTTTGCAGGTGAAATTGATACCTTTCGATCCAGATGTTTACGACGAGACTATCGTGTGGACTAAGAGTAAAGACTTCGGAGATGGTTATAAAACAATAAGGATGGCTAAAAACATTCGCCTGAATGTTGATGCTTTTCAAGGTGACAATGGTGGTGTCCGCGACGGCACAGCAATCGTTCTCTGGGAATGGAAACACGGAGATAATCAACTATGGAAGATCACTCCCTATGGTAATTGGTAAGTCTTTACAAGTTTCATCAATCATCATCCTCTCTTGTCATTTGCATTTTTAATCTTCCTTCAAGTCTCTCCTAATTTATACAACACTGCGAGTTTAGTCAAAGAAACTTATTTTTGGTGATTGATTGTAACAGATACATCAGAGGGGTGAAGTCCTGACAATTCTTTGAAGTATACAAGTTGTTTGCAACATCAATTACGATGGACATGTCAATTAATAATAGTACCGATTCAGGACTTTTATCATTTTTTCAATTTTTTTTGTGATCATTTATGACTTATGCATTGTTTCTTTGGGAGAGTTGTTCACTACTAGCCACCAAGCATTTGGATATATGCATCTCTTATAGAGTAGGCTGTATGCAACTTTTTTATCCCAAGCTCTTGGAATTTGGATGATTGATTGTGCCTTTAACTTCTAAGCTTTTATTAAGTTTCTCTTTGTCTACAATTTATGTTTGCTTTGCTAAAGTAAAATATGTCCCAACTGAAACATATTTTTTTTAGGGAAGCAATGATAAACATTGCGATGACAAGCTTGTCTGATGTCTCACGTAACGGTGGGTGTCCCACTACAACAGGCGGGACACTCACCGCTAGTTATGTGAGAGACCCAATAATTAAGTGTCGCAATCCCCTGCTTAGTAGGAGGAACTATAGTTAATCATACGCCCATCAAAATTTGTATGTTCACTCACGGGAATTAAATTAAAGCGTTTACACATAATATAGAGATCTATATTTGTGATAAGGAATTAAGTCACATGTTAAGCTAATGTGTATAAATGATTTATGAGATCTACAGTTACCCTACAATTTTATACACTAAAAGGGAATAAAATAACTAAGGATAAATGTTTGGAATATGTATAAATGATTTATGAGATCTACAGTAACCCTACAATTTTATACACTAACAGGGAATAAAATAACTAAGGATAAATGTTTGGAGAATAGAAAAAATTTTACAAAAGCAAGAAGACAATTGACCCGTTACTTACTACATCATACATGAGGCTTTCATTATTGAGGGGTTCGGAAAGGATCAGATGGCCACAACTTTAGGAGACTTTTTCTATTTCAAGCACGTAACTTTCGATTCATAATCGATCAATTTTATTGTTGCATCAAGTCTCACCCTAAAATTGTTACTCCATAAATAATAATAAAAAAAATAACTTAAAATCAATTCCCTTAGAATGTTTAAAATCAATTCAGACCACTTCAACTTGAATTTAATCAATAACCTGTAAATATGATTATAATAAATATGGAAAGAGTAACATTATGAAGTTGAGAGAATGTTCAGTTTGAGATAGTAACACTTGCTCATTGAAAATCATAGTTTGCTTGATTTTTAACTTTGAAAACAATTCTCAATAATTCAGAGAACAGAAAACAGTTTGTAGAGAACAATAAAAGACAGTTCTCTCAAAACATGCCTTTTTATAAGTGAGTTTTTAAAAAACTGAACCAAACAGAATTTTTTGTATAATTTTCTATTTTCTGTTTTCTGAGTTACAAACCAAGTAAGGATATCTTCAACCGATTCACTGAGGAAGCCAAAACTTTTTTGAAATTTGCTATTCAGGAACAAATGGAACCTTTAATGCTTTAGGAATAAGCCAGTTAAACTAACAATAAAGAAATTGAAATTTTATTCTACTACTATTATTTAAATTTTTTCATCCGTACAGAAACAAAAGTATTGTTATTGAGTAGAAAATAGAGAGATGATTGGAACTGTTTTGGTTTCACAGTACTAGGAAGTGACACAATTTTATTCTTGATAGGGGACATGTACACTCTTTTTAACTAATGACTTAATTTTGTTAGCTACCATTGAATACATTTCTCAATACAATGCGAACTCAACATTTTCATGTGTAATATAAGGATTAGATCTCATCAATATCACTTTGGGCAGAAAAATAACGTCTTTGTTCATGTTTTGATCATTAAAAAATAATAATAATAAGTAAAAATCTTGAACAAAATACTAGAGTTTTATGGATAGTAAACTACAAAAGTACAATATTAGAGGCCTTTGAGCATAATTAACTGGTTCTATGCATTATCCCTAAACCAGAATTCTATGCCTTCGGTACATCTACCCTTACAAGTTGTTGATAAAAGGTTCTTTATAAAATGAGGAATATATTCCACGTAGGCCGGGAGTGCTGAGATTAGTATCCGAGTGGGGACCCAAGCAACACAAAGGATTCTTAGAACTCAAAGATTAAGAAAAGGAAGACAGTATTCAGTTGTACCCATGTAAACTCAAGCTTCATGGTAATTGGTTGTTAGACTTTCTTAACTCTGCCTTTAAGGCTGATTAACCTCTCCTATTTATAATGCACTTGAACGGATAATACCCATCGACACATAGGTGAACTTCCTTTTATCCGTAGGATCAAGGATTTCCCTTTCTGACAGATGGGATATTACCCAGTGGGCAGAGGCACTTTTGCCCTTTAGTCCATAGGGGAAACGGCGCTCCTAATTAATGTGGGTCACGTCAGTTATCTTTCGCAATTAATGCATCTCTTTGGACTTATTTAGGGCTCGACCTTGGGTACCAAAATCCTTTCCCCTTTGTGTTGGCCCAAGAGAAGAAGGCGGATCCTTGGGTCCCAGCCACTTGTCCACATTTTCCCAGACTCCCGCGCTAGGAGATGGGGAATGAGTCTTCTCGAGGTACTGCCTTCTCGACCTCCTGATATTCTACTCCGGTCTTGACCCTCGAGGTTTCTTCGCATTCAAGGTGGGAAGAGTTTGCGGCAAGCAAATTGTGTTTCTCAAGTCCTCCTCAGACTCAAGGTGGGGACTTTGAGATGGAGAGATCTCAATTTCGAAGGTCTCATCGAGCTCAGGGGGCTCGAGGCGATGGAGGTGGAATGCACCCGAGGTCCCATCTGCAGAAAGGGGCCTTAGGTGGTGATAAAAAAAGAAGGGACCCATCCAACTGGAGAGGGGTACTTCCTCAAGGGGAGTGAAGGGTAGCGACCCCTTCCTTGCTAATAAATCCAGTTACGGGACAAGTAGCTCGAGGTTGCTCGTCCCTTTCTCAGTGACACGCTAGACAGGTTCTGGCCAAGTGTGTCCTTTTTAGAGTGGGTGGCGCCACGCAAGCAAGTAATATGGCACATTTATGAACACAAGTTTTCATAATTAACTGAACTGGCGATAGTCCACTGAGACTTCAAACGTTCAAACTCAAGGATGCTATTATCAAGGGATTTTTTTTTCCCCAACAAGGTCTGAACAGTAAAAAAATTCAATCCAAAGCTAGTAAAAAAAACATCTATTAATACGGAGTAGTAAATTTTGAAAATAATAATCTCATTACAATTACTTGTCATCCCTAATCTACATTCTACAAAAAAAAAAAAAAAAAAAGGGTTACTATATTACAATGATTCTCATGACCAGCTTTGCAAAAATCTACTTTCCAAAATGACCCAATAAAAAAACGAAATCAATTATGACAATAGCAGCTTCATTCCCGTCTATATACCATTTCTGGTCTGTCCGACCTAGAGTCTACCTCCAGATACAACATCAAATCACCTACTTCTGTTCCTTCACTACCATCTTACCCCAAGTGTTCTATTTTTATTTCTTTTCTTTTCTTTTCACTTGGTATCCTCTCTCGAACTTCTCCGCGAGAGTCTGAAGGTTTATGAAGGATTCTATCTTTAACCTAAGGCCAGTTAGGTAAGTATGGATCCAACAACATAATTCTTACAAAGAAGAAAAAAAAAATCAGGTTTTGGACGTACCAGGATGCACTTTTAAGTTGAACTCAAATATTTTGTAGCTATGAACAAAATTGGTGCTGTTCTGCAATATAGCTGTGGCTCTCGTACATAGTAAAATAACTACGCAACGTGGCCAAAAGATTTCTCCAGAACTGCAAATTGTTGAAGAGAATGCAAGGGGGGCCAAAAAATTTATACACACTTCAAGAAGCCCAAGGCATCCTTGTTCAATCAGAGAGTAACTCTTCCAACTCAGGCGGCTCAGATGTGGAAGCATCATAATCCAAACTTGTTTCATTGAACATACTTTTGCCTAGAAGGTCAATATGGTTCTCTTCGTCCTCCATATCTGACCATTCTGGCTCATCGTCTACATTTTGATCACCAACATCTTCTCTTGTTGCACTCTGCTCCTTGCCGAGTTTTCTAGGACCCGAGTCCATCTTTACTTTGGCTTCAGAATCTTCACATATGCAGGAAGATGGGTTCTCGTGAAAGCCACCCCTGCCTGCCCTCATTTCCTTTGGTTCTCCCATGAAGCCTTTTTGATAAGTTCGAACTCTAGAGGCAAATGCTTCCCAAGTCATGTTCCCCCGGCTCAAGAAAAACGGATACAGTTTCTTAGCATTCGGACGAATGGTATGTTTGTGTCCAAAATATCTCCTGAAATTAACAGAAAAATCAGGTCAGCCCATGGGTTCTGTACCCCTACAAAATGAAAATCTTAAAAATAAAAAACTAAAAAATAGAAAAGCAAACCTTCGTCCAGCTAAAATTCTTGCCATGTTACCATTGTTATTCGTAACAAATACATCACTCTCATCACAAACAATGAAATCTAGTGCAGCCATGCGAGAAGAAAATGCAGAAAATGGTTGCAACTCTTCCTTGCTGGCTATAGTGTCCTTTGAATAAAAATTTGGGAAGAGTGCTTTTAAGGGGGCCAGTGTCTTTTCTCCTCCATATACTTCACCAGATGCCACATATAAGTGAACATCTTTCCCGTAGCCCAATGCTCTCAACATCAGACCCACTTCTTCAGGAGTAAGTGGGCATCTTCCTTGCCTCCTTCCCTTTTCTGGGTCCCTGATCTGTAAACGAGTAGAAAAACATCTCAGATGTGATTTATATGCACCACTAAACAGTTGAGCCATTGTAAAACTCCAATTTAAACTTGCATTTTGGAGCTTGAAAACCAGGTCCATATTTTGATCCTATCCATTCATTTAAATGATCCTTTTCAGTATTTGCAGTAAGCTTACATTCATCATCTTAATATGTTCTCTCTCTCAAATTAAGCATTTGAAGGCCCCAAATCATGTACCATATCCCTATATCAGTATTACACCTTAAGATACTTTTTTTCCCCCCTAAACAACCCTTTTCATTAAAGCAGAACCTTAAGATACTTCTATTGCCTGTTGTTAAAAGACATAATTTTTTTTTTTTTTTGATAAGTTAAAAAACATATAAATTGAAACATATGGGGAAAAGCTCTTTATACTAAAAATGAAACAAACAGCACTTAATGCCCTTCTAAATGAAAATAATGTTTTGACATTCATTATATTACTTAAACCACTAAACATTATGTAAATGAAATTACCCAAATGACCAAATATGACTATTGGAACCTTACATGTAAAGTTTTCCACCGCTTCCGTATTGCACCCAGTTCTTTCCTCTCCTTTTCTCCTCCACCATAATAACATCCTGAGAATGCAAGCATATCAGGTTCAAACCTGTAACAAGAAGCAACTTGATGCATTAAGATACTTCCTCATATTTATACTTCATATTTAGAAAATGATAACAATTTTCATAGCTACTGAATTAGAAAATACAGTCAAGTGAACACAAGTTACCCCACCATTCCATTCAGAAAATAATAAAAATTATTAAATTCCCCACAAAGCTTCACACTGTCGGGGACCAAGAATTCTGGTTAGAGGTGCAACTTGAATGAGTCAAACCATACCGGGTTGGATTTTTCATGGTTTGAGAAACATGCTCATAACTCGGTATGAGCTTGGGTTGAAAAATCAAAACCAAACTAAATGCAAATTGAGCTCCTGATGAGGTGTCACACAACCCAAGCCCAACCTGAATGGCACAACTCAAGCTTAACCAAATTCCAACTTTATATACATTATATCTAAGTTTGTAGTTATATAAACAGAATTTATAATCATAATCAATCTTTGTTTTGTAGTTCCCATCTTTTAATTCTTGATTTCTAGTAAATTCATCCCTTGAAAGTTAATTTCCTAGAATTATTTCCTCTTTTATTAATTTCTTTGGAGTCAAAATTTTTGGGTGCTGGTGGGAAAACTGAAACAGAGGTCAGGCTGGGTGGGCTTGGATTGAAGGTTTCAGACCTTGGATTGAGCCTAGTTTGACCCCTCAACCCACCCAGTTTGCACCCTGATTGGCACTTCACAAGCAACTTCTTGTACCCCAATAAGCCATAGAGATTTCTTCTTCTTCTTTTTAATAAGTAATGGGCCATAGAGATTTCATCCGGTCTTTTGAGTTTTTTTATCCACTCAGTCATGCAATAAAATAGTGTCCGATCTGCAACATTTGTGCAAGTTGAGAACTAAATTTCCCCAGTACAAGGGGTAGCCTATTAATCTGAAATTTTGAATCATATACAACACTGAAAGGTGTAAACCATTATACTTCTCTCTATGCATGGAGATCACATATATATAACAGCTAAACAGCATAAAGAAACGAGAGTACATTGGAGACAAATACCAGATATCAGAAAATTATAGGGACCAAGGGTAAAGTGAAACTACCTTAGGTGCAGGGCAATGTAATGCTTGCTTCTCATCCTCATTCGATGGACCAATTCATTACCCATTTTAAGTATGGGGTCAGTGAACTTTAAAGCATGGTAATTAACTCTACATCTAAGCTTTTGTAAATCTGTCTCCAACTTATTTGACAGTCTGTAATCAAATTTGGTGAGTTGAACAGCCTGTCACATGAATGAATTTCATTATTTACAAGCTTTGGAACAGTAAATTCATTCAAGGCCAAACGTAGACAACACATATATAATAATGCAACTAAAAAAAACTATAACACTCAATCAGCAGACTACTAAATAATTCCCAATACAAGTTATATGGATTTGACTTGAGGTTCCCCATTGGTTGTCAGCCTATTAGAACTCTTCTTTGTTGCATACAGGGGTAAGGGTAAACAACCAAAAAGGCACGTGGCACAAAACCCAGTCTGGTGTGATAAGTTGATAGGCAAGACCGGGACACCAGCCGACCCAGCAGGTCCAGCCGAAGCCCAATGACCCTATCCAAATGGTCCAGTTACAGCCTGGGACAAATGGCCTATATTGTTTTTCCTTTTTTCAAAAGGAAAAAAATGTGACACTGTCAAGTAAATATTCTTCTTTAGAATTACTTTTCCAAATTTGGTGCGTTGGGGGAGGGGGGAAACTACAAGGTTAGAAAGTAACTCATAAGGAGTCTACAACCATAGCACTTCCTCGTTTCGCTTAAAAATAAATAAATAAATAAATAAATAAAACTATAGCACTTTTCGTTGCAATTTAGCTCAACAGTTACTTTGATATCTACATGACTTTCAAATATACATTATGCCCAGTGGCATAACCATGATCAAGAAAAAGTCCCAAGCATCTTTTTTCATAAGTTTGGGTATTCTCAATAGTTGCAACTGAACCCATCAGACGTCTGGATACTTTCTTGGAAGTATTTGAGTTCAATTTGATTGCAATTGGTTTTTATTGTCATTTTCTGAACAACTTCCACCTGCATAAGTTTTCAAGAGTCCATAATCCTTGATCCATCACCCAAGGTCCCAACTTAAGATGGTTGAATTCATAACTAAAGCTCGGCCAACTCTGTTTAATTGAGATCATGATGACCTTAGGTTTGACCCCAACTGAATAGCTGATGATTATTATTTTTGTTCGAAATAACTAAAATAATTTAGTATATTGATTACAAATTAAAACCTCATTATTAAGGATTAAAACCTCATTATGATAATACTGAATTCTAAAAAATGCACCTAATATATTTTCCTGGTAAATGAAGAAATATATGAGATATGTTTTTGTTTCAAGATAGAATAAGTTATTTGCTGGACACCTGGACCTAGGGCCAATCACAGTTCTCTCAATCTACATTCTGGACTAGTATACCCACCCAATTGTGTCCCGATATGAGGCAAACACTATCCATGAGCAATGACAGCATATCATTAATCTGTCGTAACTACTAACAAAATCTAATAAAAAAGGATGTTGCAATGTTAAAGAAAGTTGCTCAATGTATCTGGGTATGCAATGTATGTGCGAACATGTTCATAGAACAAATGAAAAGTTCTTGGGACTGATAACTTACATTCTTTTTCAGAAGTTTAGGCTGTACACGAGTTCGATAGCATTTTTCATTACATTTCCTCGGAACACGCATGGTATATGGAGTCCAAGTCTTCCCTCCCCTTTCTGGAAGTTGTTTTTTGATTTTAACGTCTTTTGATAGATATGATATAAACCAACCAACATCAAAAATATCTGAAAAATTACTGCATAAGACAATGCAACATGTTTATTATCTGAGTTCAAATGCAAAAAGTACCTGTTCTTTCTTATTATATGAAAAGCTAGACAAATAACAAGACTTAAATTGCAAAATTGTTAGCAAAGCTTACACTAGTTATTTACAAACCTACCTAGCATCATTCCAATAGGAATTCGGGTCCAGCTTTGGAACAATAAGAGTGGCATTCAAAATGCGGGCAGCAACAACAGCATCCGTAATCTGCTCAAAGTTAAATAAATAAGTTTGGCACTAAAAACTAATTCAACATCTTCAAACATGTTGTACAAAATAAGTAATTTAATAACAACAGTGACCAAAATTAAGGTCACTGACTAGTGACTTCAAATGGAACAGTATGCACAAGATCCCAATCTGACAAGCAGCTCAATTATATTGACAAATTCAGTGAAAATACTATTTTACTGGAGGTGGACAACTCCAGTCAGCCTTGCTGACAACAGTAGAATATAGCAAATCATGGATAAGAACAGTTAAACTAAAACCTTGGGGCTGTAACTCCATTGTTCAGCAAGGAGTATGCAAAATGCCTACTTCCAATTACCAGACACATCTGAAATAACGCCAAATGGTTATCTGACTATTTGCATATAAACCTACCATCGTAATTCTAAATTAGTAACCCTCCAATTCCATTTTATACATGCGGTGTTTTGAATGTACAAATATAGGCATATGCAATGACAGAGAAATAAAAAAGGCAAGACAGGAAAAAGGCATGTGCAATGACCAGGAACTGACTGATAATAACTGCTTGAAAAGAAATCTATATCATCACGAAACCTCAACAAGATGTGAAGAATATCCTTCATATTAGAGTTGGTACAATATGTCATATGCAAATGCAACTCAACTCAACAAAATTGTATCCCATGTAGATGCATAAGTAGATCTTTGTAAGTTGTTTGGTTTAATTTTGATGTACTTTCCTTTCTCTTGAGTTCCTACAAACAAAAGTTCTTAATAATAAGGATAGAGAGAGAGAGAGGATAGATGGTCGTGCACAGAATTCAGAATTTAGCACAAAATGTGTTATCAAAGCTAATTTGCATAGAGTCAAAAATTAAGGAGGCATGCTGCATTGAAACCAATAATTCTTCCCATCTTTCATTGATCTCAAGCTCCTATTAATGTACAACAGGTATTTAATTGCAATAATAAATAAGTAAACATGGAAAATATTAAACTGAGTTTCTAGGCCAACATAGACACTATTTAAGTCTGTTAAATTCCATATATGTAAGCACGTCTTCAAGAAAAACAATTAAATTTTGTCTTGTCAGTTAAAAGAATCTTTAAATACTTGACAAAAACGAAGATAAAGCCAAATTGCTTTTCAGAAATGAATAATTGCTTGATATATTACTCCTATTTAACCAATGTAGAATTCATATGTTCAAAGGAATACCCCAGTTCTTTGTTGGTTTAAACCTCCACTAGTAACAATGGAAAAGTATCGATTGCGATGAGTAATAGCTTCAGCTCCTGTAATTTGAACAAAGTCCAATCAAATGGAAGAAATTCACCAAATCAACACCAACGTTTAAGGATTAACAGAGTTTATCCATTTGAAATAAGAATTATCCTCCTAGGAATCCAATTGAAACCCTGTAAAGGAGCTGTAATATGTACTTAGTATCCATTTTTCAATGAATATTACAGTGAAAAGAAAAGTAATCACAATCACGAATTACGCACTGGCAAACTTTTTGCTCGAGTTACTACAACCGTAGTAGAATTTAGACATTTTTGAATTCCAAAGATCACGATCCGACCTCCCTCCACTGGTCTACAGCTCAACAACAAAGAAATCACATTAATTAAACTCAGATCCAATTATCCTCCACGAGTAATTCACAAATCTAAAAATATAGCAAAAAATTAAAACCCTAACCGGAACACGAAATGTTGGAGTTTCAATGTCATCGACGCCATTGTTGACCTGAACAAAGAACCACAAACAAGCTAAGTATGATATGAATACATACATATATGTGTGTGTAGAGAGAGAAGTTAGAGGAGTACCGAAGAGCGGCTGGAGGGATGAGGGAGGCGATCCTTGTCGATGGGAGAGGGAGCGAAAAAAGGAAGGAGAGCGTAGTGAAGGATGAGAATGCCTAAGACGGTGAAAAATAGGTATCGGAGGAAAGTGACGAGAGTCTGATTGTGGTGGCGCCGCCGAGGGAAAGCCATTAAAACCGTCACGGTGGTGGTGGAGATGAACGTCGCGGGGGCACTTTTCCCTCTCTCTTCCACTCAGTAAGTTTTGAGAGAGAGAGAAAGGAGGGAATGCAATATTTCTCTCTACAAAGCTCAATGTTATCTAATTTTACCTCCAAAGCTTGTGCGATAACGACAACGTTCGTACGTAGCTTTCGCGCAGAGAAACCAAAATTCACCACTAAAATTAGAGCATTAAACCACCCCCTGAGAAAGATTGCTACGCTCTTTTATTTTTCGGCAAAGATCGAACAAGCGACTGAAAGTCTCACGAACCTACCCCACTCTTGTCTCGTCTATAATCACGTGCAATTCACGTGCCTAGTCTAATTAAAATTTAGTTGAGGACAATTTTTTATTTTTTCTTAAGAATACTGGAAACAGTGAATATTTTGAAATTAATACAGAGTAACCGAGTCTCAGTAAAAACAAATTATTTTGTTTGGTGTGATAAAAATAGCAAGAAAAGAAAGAAAATAAAAATTTTATCAACAAATTGATATTAAGGAAAAATTATTTTACATAGCTACCTAATGTTGCCATTAAAATTATTTACCAAAAATAAAAGATTTCTTGAAAAAGTTTATCAACTTACAATATCCCTTTCTTTTATAATAAGTTCCATACTTTTCAAACCATGGTAATTTTCTTGTAAAATTGCTTCCATAATTTTCTTTCAAAATTTCCATGCTAACCAAATTAACATTGATAATTTTCGTTCACTTCACTTTTTTAACTTTCACTTTTCACTTGAGTACTTCGTCATTAATAATAAGTAAACCCCTGAGCCCATTTTTGTTCTAAGATGAAATAAAATAAAGAAATTGTGAATGATCAAAATGTGAGTTACAACAATCATTTCTTCTCTACTTTTTAAAGGAACAAATCGAGAGTTTCAATATCTGTTTGAGGCATTGGGTGTGAGTTTCTTTCTTGCGAGGAAAAATGTGAACTAATAAACTGGGCTAAAGGATTCAAGCCCCTCTAAGTGAGACTTTCCTGCCAAATATCTCAGATTGACGTAGGAAGCTAAAATAATAATAATAATAGATGGCTGGCTAATTAGGGCTCTATATTATTGAATTGTCTAAACATTTGAGAAGAAAAAATTCAGCAAAAACCAGGAAGTTTGAGAAGATGCTGAATAAAAATGAAAAGTTCTGGTGTCCTCCGGATGCCCCATTTTCTCACTGTGGAATGCCGATAAAAAAAAAAAAAAAAAAAACAGAAAAGGAATCCCTCTCTTTATATTGATACCAGTTATCACCAATATAAAAACAACAACAAAGAAAACCTACACAACCTGCTTCTTCTTCTTCATCATCCTTGCCTTTATCCGATATAGATGGATATAGAACCGCTTCTGGAAACCAAATATACATTTTATAATCTTGCAAATTACAACATAAGTTACAAAAGGAAAAAGCTAGTGCTAAGTGCACTCATGTGGAGCTCTTGCCATCACATGAGGCTGTGCCCCCTCGATCCTGGACGAGCTCGCGAACTTACAGTAAAAGCCTCTTTACGATAGACTTGTTCCAAAAGCCACCTCCATACCGAAACCCAAAAAAGGTTGCCTTGTCAATTTTATAGAACTGAGTCCTTGAACGCAATGGCGGGTAAGGGTGCACATTATTTGCCTTCTGGATCAAATACCTCTCCCATGCTTATATAGATTGTGAACATCAGCACTTCTTAGGCAATGCAAGCCTACTGGCAGCTTTACTCTAGAAATTCTACAGAATCAGCAATTCTGAGGCGTGGTGTTTTTTATTTCTAGCCATGACTTAAAATGGCTATTCTACTTTCCAAGCAGGAACCACCACCAATAATCTGAATCAGCTCCTCAAGTAAGCGATAATCATCCTTTAAACCAAATGAGTTCTCTTAACCATGAAGGATCAGACGACATTTGTCAATACATTACTTGAAAGCCTCGTGGCCCACAAAGTTTGATTCGGTGACCATGAAACTGGGAATCCAGCTATGGCACACCATCTTAAATTCAGAAGTGCAGCAGCAATCTTCTCCTCGGAATCTTTGAAAAGCTCAAGTATTCGTGATTCAGCATCCAAGTCTTCAGCAAGGATAAAAGCCTCCTCGTATTCCATTCTCTTTTCTTCGAGGGTGACATCCTCTTCAGATATCATTCGCATACTCAGGACCTGCAATGCTTCCACAGCCGTGCTGTCAAAACCACGGTCCACATAAGCAGAGAACACAAAGGAGCAAGTTGATGGATCAGGCTGGATTTTTTCTTGGTGCATCCGTTCGACAATAAGCTCAATTATGTCGATTCTTCCCTGAAGCAATTAATTGAGGAAACAACACATTGAGTTTAAGGGTCCATCGATGCAATGACATAACAATACAAAACCAGGCTCACAGTAGCAATGCCATGAGATAAACTAATACATATATGGTGACCATAGGTAGATGGGTCTAATATTCTACCTAAACATGCTGAGAAAGAATTTTATAGTCAGCACGAACTCCCAAGATGGCTACCTGGCCTATTTTGAACATTCCCCAAAGAGTGGCACCCTTAAAAGTTCAAACATTCCTTTCAAATTAAAATAAATATGATGAATATGATACCTTTTCACATGCTTTTTGAAGAATGGTGTTGAATAACAGTACATCAGGTTGGATTCCGTCTAAGTTTCCTTGATCCAGAAGATCTAACGCTCCATTGAAATCTTCACATCCCAACAGAATCTGACAAAAAATATACTCTGCCATAAGCAATCCGACAATTACACGTACCACTACCATTTCCAAACACGACTATAACATGAATGTACCTCAATGACAATTATCATGCATTCATACATTAAGTAAAGCATGAAGCAAAGTAGAAATGAACTCTTTGATTTTACTTCTCATTTTCATTGTTTTCACAATAATGGACGAGGAAGGACATTATTAGCTATAAAATACTGTGATGTGGCCTGAATTTAGTTCTGGGTCACGTTGCAACCCGATGGCCCATCGATTGAGCTTTTTTTGGGCCCAAGCTTCCCAGGAATTTTTTTTACCTGTTTTTAGATTGCAGGTCGTGGACCCTGTTTAGTACTCTCGTGTAGCCCAATATATAAGGGCGTTTAGGGTTCAAAGCGGGACATCAAGAGACACTGAGAATTGCAGAAAAGAGAGCGAGAGCGAGAGCTAGGATTTTGGGGGCTGAAACTTGTAATCTCTTGTTTTTCGCATAGTGAAATCTTTGGCCAGAAAAACATCGTGGATAACACACCTAGTGTAGAACCACGGTAAATCTTTGTGTTCTTTCTGTGTGGTGTATTTATTTTTCTGTCATGTTTCATAATTATTACTTTAGCAAAAATAAGATCTTAATAGAGGGTAAGAATGGTGTTGGATGAGGATAGGAAAGAGGTAAGTGGCAAAATTAATTTTATTAACAAAGACCTATGATTGCACCGATAAAGCCAATAATGGTTTGAATTAAAGGAGATACAAGGTAAGGTGAAAAATAAAATAGGTTAGGACAATATAAAAGGCATTACAAAATAAAGGTTGGATGATTGCATTTGCATAATAAAGATAAACGTGCTTGTTTAATTATTATTTCTTTGTTCATAAAAGTTTAAAACTTCAGTGAAGAGTTTAGAGTATAGCAGACAAATGTGCAGCATTGTGTGTGCATGAGCAACATTTGTATTTGAAAAAACAATACGGCAGAATGATTGATGTGAATGTCAATATGTATATAAAATGGCAGGATAACTACAACGGCCAGCGTCAAACCAAACGTTTATAAATTAGTAGCTTAAAAGAAATGCTTGTAGACTAAGCTCCTGGAGTCCATCAAGCAGACCATAAGGAGAATTCTCTCTTTTGATGCTACATCCATATCACTGCAACATTTTCATAGGACGCACACTAACTCATTCTGCATGGGTAACAAGAGTCGAAATGAATACCTTTAAAAGAGCAGTGTAAGTTGCTGCCTGTAGATAAAAACCATCACGCACCATCATTGAAACTAGAGCACAAGCAGTTTTGAAACATCTTATAATGCTGCAGCAATCAATCATAATAGTATATGTAGCAGCATCTGGCACAAAACCACATGATTTCATAGTTTTAAAAATTTCCAAAGCACTGCGACTCTGAAATTCAAGCAAAAACATAGTTAGTACCAAACAAGAGATAACAATAAATAACAAGTTGGAGTCATTGAAAGAACATTTTTGGGACTCTGAGAATTACTTCTTTAGCCTCAACTAGAGAATGCAAGACCGTATTGTAAATCAGTGTTCCCAGATAAGAGTTCCCAAGAGAGAACTGATTCTCTGCCATACGCAAGTATTGGATCATCTCCCTTGTCATTCCCTCTGCTCCAAGTGCTTTCAGCTGAAGAAAACCACAAAAGGATTAAATGCCATGCCAATGTACTGCTTTGTACAAAAAGAGGCACCACTATAACTTCAGGTAGGAGGTCTCATGCAAGTGGAAACCACTAGGGCTTGCGTTTTGTCAAATATTCTGAAGCACAAATGATAAAGGGGAGCATTGCTTGCTGTGGTAATAAAATGGTCAGGCCATGACGCGTGAAAACACATTCGAATACTGGGAGCAGCTGAATTTAATGTCAAAGGTTAGGTTGTATCTAGTTCACCCCTCTCATGACCCTCAATTAACGGCAACAGCACAGGGCATCCTTATGAGTTATGACTCCTTTACAAATGATTTGTAAAGGGTAATCTCCCTTTACATATGGTAAAACAGTGTCTCATCAGAGAGTGCGTTGTGTACTAGGAAGCTCGGACACAACTAAAAGGGCAAAGAATCCGTGTCGGACACCGATATGCGCCGGACACGCTAAAAAACGTGTCCGAATATTTTATATTTTCTTGAATATCCAGACACGCCTTGGACACACGTCCGACACGCCATGGATACGTGTCCAACACACGTGTCCCATTCTTCGGGATTTTTAAGAAAGTTTTGGAAACAATTTTGAGTTGAAGTATAAATATTAGGAGTTGTATAATAACTTTAGATGGTAATTACATAATTAATTAAAAGTTGTTGTTTTATAAAACGATTAGATATTTATCCTTATATTTTAGTTCAAGGTTCGAACTGTTGAATGATCATTTTTGACTCTCTTGTTCTCCCACCAACCAAGCTTCGCTATCAGTGGATGGTCTATCTCTCTCTCTCTCTTCTCTCTTCTTCTTCATTCTCCTCTTTTCTTTCTTCTTCTTGTTCTTCACAAATCCTAGATACTTCTTTTTTTTCCTTTCCCAATAAATTTCTTTTGGGGTTTCTTTTTCCTTTTTCCTCTACTTCCCATGAACTTTTTTCTCTTATATGGTTTCTTACCTTTTTTTTAACTAAGGCCTAATTCTTTTTCTAACAAAACCCTAACCCTCATTTGTTTTTTTTTTTTTTCTCTCTCTTTCTCTCTTTCTTAACCCTCTTTCTATCATTCTTTCTTTTTTCCCAGCAAAACACAAATTTTTTTTTTTCATTATGAGGTTGTAAAAACTAATATTACTCTTAATTTCTTAAAGTACATCATATATAAAAATATAAATTTTTTATTTGCAGCGTCCTAATTTTTCTGTATTTGCCATGTCACCGTGTCGTTTCTATATATGAAGATTTGAGGGTGAAGATGGCAAAACTAAGATTTGAGGCTCAATTGGATAAGAAGTCAGACTTAAAAATATCTAAATTTGATGTTTTGCGGCTATATTAAGCCATCCTTGAAGCTGATTGTTTAAGAATCAATTGCCAAGTTTGGGGGTCAATCAATACATATCGACATCCAAAGGATAGATCATCCTTGTGATCATTAAGCACTGGACAGTTGCGGATCATTTGATTCATCGACAGCGGGTCACGGGAGTTCCAGAAATCCAGCGGTGGAAGCACAGGTCAATCGTGCTTTCAAGAATTAAGGATCAATTGATGAACAACAGAATTGACCACTATTTTCCCAGGTTTAAAAAATCATGAATTTTCAAGTCAAAATTTGTTTCTAAAGTTACTAAAACTCTGTCAAAACATTCCAAATAAAACCCTAATCAATTGAACACTATAAATATAGGCTTCTAGGGTTATTCTATTTATGAAAGAAAGAAGTATACACACATACGATTAGAAATTTTAAGAGTAGGCTTTTGTCGGTTCTGTTGAGTGAAGTATAGTTTTAACTTAGTTACGAAGACTTGAGGCATGTATATAACCACGTACTGGTTTCAATTCAATAGACGAACAATTTTAGATTATTTCTCAGCAATTATACTCTTTGTGACTATGCTTTTTGATTTTTCTACACTTTTTTAAGCTTTTAACCCCAAACAACAATACCTTATTTAATCCTTTTTCTACCTTTACAAATTTAATCTACCAAGACCTAATCCTTCCCTCCTTCATCCAATTAACGTCACTAATGAGGAGAGGGAAAAAAGCACGAACACGTAAAGAAGAAGAATATAATGTTCAATGGTACTGTTCACAGTCCAACAATCCTAATTTGGTTTCTCAAAAGTCAATAGTTAATTACAACCCTAAAAACTACCGGTAAACCTTTGTCCAAGTGGGTTTGGGTCTAAACTTCCAACCCCAAGGTCAATGGCCTGAGATTGGTACAGAGAGGAGAAAAAAATTATAAACCTAAAAACTGACCATTGTTGCACCTTTACAAACCCTAAATACTGTAACTTTACCACCATTTAGCCACCAATACGTTGACCTTAATCATCCCTAAACCCACCCTGCACCATTCCTACATCAAGCATATCCAGTAAATGCTTTACTAGCAGTGATGCGATCAGGGGAGGAAATTTAAATAAAATAAACAAAAGGTGGCATTCCAGCTAATACTTTTAAGAACTCTATTCACCATATATCAGAAAGAGGGGCAGAACACAAGGCTGGGAGTTACCAAGTTCTTCATTGATAAAAGACTGTGCTGAATGCCGTATTTTTCCATATCCAATTCTATAGCGTGTATCCTTTTAGCAACCTCCACCTGTGACAACATATTGCCCACTTCATACGGTGCATTCACATTACCAAACAAAGAAAACAATAGCTCATATGTCCTGATATCTGGATGAAGCTTCATCTGTTTCATTTTAGCCAATATTTGTACAGCACGTTCAGGTTGATCCTGCATAATTAATGCAACACAATTTTGCATTAATAGAGAGAACCTTTGAAGTCAGGTGTCAGTGAACTGCATTGATTAACATAATGAAATTCAAAGGGTCAGAAAAATCAAATAAATTTGCAGAATCGAGAAAAATGGCGACACTGATGCCTCTATATTGCGGCCCTACAGTAATGGCCTGATACTCAATTTATTTGAAGAATAAATCCTAGCAATAGAGCCAAATGAACGAAAAGTGAATCCAAGACTGGAAAATGAGGCATCAAATAGTGCACAGAGATTGCAGAAGCACATACAAAGGTCCATAAAGGCTTCAACATAACATAATTGAAGCCAAAATGAGTATCTAGCAACCACATTGTAATATATATCATCTCCTCTAGCAGAGAGTAAAAAGACAAAATAAGGGACAAAATGTGATAAGGTTTCGGATTAAAAACATTAGCTCACCAGTCTGTCGCATGCTTCAAGAAAAGCATTATAAGGATAAACACTAGGGCTTTTGGAAATTTGATCCAGTAATGCCTCAGCTAAATTGAGTTCTAAACTTTTGCTGCAACCTACGGATATGGTTGCAAGAGTGGAATCATATGGCTTCAAATCCTTCTGTTGCATTACCTTTAACTGTGGATAAACAAAGGGAGAATATAAATGTATTGAGATTTCAATTTCACAATAGTAAAGTACAGGACATAACATGTCAATAATGTACATCAATAAAGATTAGAAGACATATTATCAGCAAAGGGCGAAAACAAAATCTCAACACATGATTTTTAAATAAAATAGTAAATCTTACCATTTCCAGACCTTCATGGAAACCCTTTTCAGAAACAATGGCTCTCATGAAGCCATCGTATGTATTGCACGACAGTTCCACACCAAGATTTTGCATCTAAAAAAACAGACAGCTCAAATTCAGTAAATAGTAGGATGTTAATCAAGTTCAAACGTCTATATGCATTCACAAGAAGGAGAGAGGGGAGGCGAAGGGGGTGGAATCTTTGGTCAAGGACCAATCCCAAGTCCTAACAATGCGAAAATCCTATGTTGGATTTCCACCAACCCCACCGCACCCCCCCCCCCCCCCCCCCCCCCCCCCCCCAGGGGTTCTCCCAGGATTAAGATTTATGTGTAGCATTTGGGCCTGCCACGTATCTAGAGGGGAATAGTCTCACCCAAGGACACCCCTCCGGTCAACAAAGAAAATTAAAAAATAGGAGAGAGGGAAAATAACAGAAAAAATAATTACAGAGAAAAACTGATATCAAATTTTCTGAAACTCTGAAGGAAAATAACTTTTTCACTGGAAATTGACATATTCAATGACTTTGACCATATTATATGTATGGCATATTAAAAATAAAAATAAAAATAAAAAAAATAAAAAAAAAGAGGTACAAAAATAAATTAAAGTTCCTCAGTATAATATATATGTGTGTGTGTGTGTGTAAAACTTAACAATCACAAATGAACATGGCAAATTTGTGCTACCTGTAAAATTAACTGCTCTGCCAATCGACAATTTAAAGTTTGTGCACAACCACGTATCACATCATTAAAAGCCCACCTCAAGATTTTCATGACAGGCACACTTATATGTTTCTTTAGCATACTCGGCCCAAAATTCTCAACTTCTTTCCTTCCCATGCAAAGAACAGCGCATTGCCCACTGGTACTCGTGTGAGTATCTATTTCCTTACAGTTTGTTTGGATAGAGATTTCAAAGTTTTCATTCTCCTTGCTACATCTTTTCAAGCTCCAGTGATTGTTGGAAGGTATAGGAATGTCCAATCTAGAAGTATACAACTTTCCTTCAGAAGTTTTCGCGATAACAAAGCCTCCCCGGAAAGCCAAAGCCACCATATGCTGCAAGATTTCATATGCAGATTCCAAATCTCTCAAACTTGTAAAGGACCATACAAACTTTCGAAGAGAGATAATGCTGGGACTATAGTTTTTGATATACTCCTTCCAAATACCATGGACTGCAGACAAATTTTGCTGCAAAACTGCAAGCTGAAAGAATAAATTTATAGTAATGATTTGGTAAATTCTGAATTTACAATGACTCTAGATCCGTCAGATAAAAAGCACAAGATATATTAATAATATAGTTTACCATGAACTGTTCAACATGGATGGGAAGCATAAGAAGGATGCAAATGTGTGAAACTTCGTACACAAAAGAAAGCAAGATCAACACAGCATAAATTATTGTTAGGTTATATGGTCCACCTCATCACCTCTTCTCCAAAGCCAATGTCGAATAATAACTACAAAATGATAGAGAGAAAAAAGAAGTATAATGGGCTGTTAGGTTTATGCAGTACTCTCTCTCCCCCTTCCCCCTCATTTTGTATTCATAAATTACACATTTGATTTTTTTTTTTTTTTTTATCCAGAAAAAGTAACTTTCTGTACACTCTGCTGCTACATTATATTGATGTATATTTTAGCTTCGAAGAAGTAAAATCCCATTAAGTGTACTTTTTTACATTTGCACCCACCATTTCTTTCACAACGTGTACTTCAGCATCATACTCCTGCCAATGGTTCCGATACTACCTACACTTTCACCACTTCTTCCATGCACCGTGTATTGAATTGAACGTGTCTCTGTAGGAGGGAAAGCAAGATTAAGTGCTAATAAAGGCCAAGAGCCGTACATGTCTCCTCAAAAGTTAAATCTCTTACATAAATGAGAAAAAATAACAAATTAAGGAATATTATCCCTTTCGAATCTAGAGGGCAGAAAAATGGGGTAAGACTAAAAGCATAAAGCTTAACAAGGTTCGTTACTCTCCTATACTCTGATAAACTCAAGTACATAGTCATATGACTCATATAATATTTCTGAAACACCACCGATGATCATTTTTGTTTATACCAAGATAACAATAATGGGATTGATCATCTTTGATGTGAACCCATATGCGTTGGAATTCCTACCAGTTAAAGCTAATGTTTTAGGTTCAGAACGTACCCAATAAATGCAATGCTATATGTAGAATGAGTTTGTGGGAATAGATAATAGCACAATACTTCGTTCTAACCATTTAAATGCGGTTAGCAAAAATCCAAATGGCACTTGTGGTTGTGGTACAATTTCATTCAACCTTATCTGAAAGTGATACGATTTCATTAAACCTTTTTCTCTTGTTCCCATACATTTTCATTCAAGCATATAGAAAAATTCAATCCATCAAATCAGAATAGGTATTATCACTGGTTGATACAGTAGATTTACATTAAAGCTTGCCTTCCACCTCAAAGGAAAGCATTATAAACCAATCTAAATTTCAGAACTGGGCTTCTTATGGAAAGCAAAATGATCTTTTTTTTACATCCATTGGCTACAACAAGAGTCACCAGTTCCACTCAAGAGACAGACCTCTGTATCCCCTAGTCCTGAGTAAGTTTGTATTTTTATTAAAAGTCGTGCTTTTTTTTTTCCCAGAATTTTTATGAAACGTGAAGCGCCATATTAATAACAAAATTCCAATTGACAAAACCAAATCAGATAAACAAAAACAAAGTGCGATCAACATAGACGAGTTGGCTATGAATGAGCTTTCACATGCTATAATGTACCAAATCAAGGTTCCCATAAGTGCTCAGTCAAAAAAAACCATATGAAACATTACAATGCTAGTCCACTGAAGCCACACATGAATCACTTAAAAAGCTTCTGTAACTGAAAATGCTTCCACGATCAGAAAATGTTCATAATCCCAAATCAAACTACGAAAAATGGAAATGAAAACAAAAATGAAGTGCTCAACATTGCAACTAGGATATGAATATAACTTCCTGCCATCTAAAAAACTTAAATTGAAAGAATCATAAAGACACTTTTTTTTTTCTTTTTCTTTTTCTTTTTTTTTTTTGTGTGATAAGTAAAAGAATCAGAAAGACACTAGTTACACACCTTGAGAAGCTCTGCATGTGTTACTTCATTTTTCCCCGCCAATTTGCTCTCCATCAAATCCAAACAATCATTGGCATGATTTAAACTATTCATTCGAGCACAAGCCCCCAAAAAATTGTTGTACATAGGCAGAATAGGATAAATATCATGATTTTCTCCAAGAACATTTATTAGATTAAATGCCTGAACAAAGTACAGCAAAACCACAAATATAATCAGCCATTTGGAAAGAAGTAGCAATATGTATGCATTGTATTGGCAGACAGAGTTCGAAGTAGCAATAAAAACACTACTACATATTATTTAATCATAATTGGCATCTAAACCATTTATTTATAAACCAGCAAAACTAAATCTTGACAAAGAACACATTTGCCTAGTTCAGTTAATCACTCATATTGCCAATATATAACCAGGTAATCTTATATTTGATTGATTCAAGAGTAATTACGTATAGTTGGTGATTAACGACTTAATTCACAGAAAGCCAATATACAATTACTATTTACTATGGAAACACCAGTAAGACTATGCAGAACAAAACTATACCTCCACCAGGTAACCCCCTTTACAAAGGGCTCGGATGATAAGAAGGTAGCTTTTTTCATCAATGTCAACTTCCTGTTCCCCCATAATTCTCCAAGTCTCCATGACAAACTGCAGGAATAAAGAAGCAAATTTCATAACAATTCCTTCCAAGAAGCATCAACCAACAAAATAGTATTAAAGTTTTAACAATTGTGTGTACAGTTCTCCGGGCAGAAAATATATATATATATATATATATATATATATATATATATATATATATATTTCTAAGTCAAAAACTATGGCATTGTGAGTCTATGCAGATAGTCTAATATATACTTATATTGCAGTATATTAAAAAAAAAAATTAAATTTTATCTTTTGGACTCTCTCAAATAATGTGACAAAGGGTATGACTAAATCAATCAATTAGCCTGTCCACTGTGGTTCAGATCCACATTACACAGGTTCTAATATAGTAAACTTACAAAACAAAACGTATACACAACAATCATACATTGGACAGGGCAAAATATATATATATATATCATGAATAATGTACTACCAAAGTGCATGTGCAGGTAGAGATGCATTAGTTAACTAAATTATAGACCAAAACTTAACTGCGCAAGAGCGCAAACCATAGCCGGCATTACAGCCTCAAGAAAAAGCAGAAGCATATTACAAAACCAAATTTCAATTGAGGTTACCAATGGATCAGGTGACCGCGAACAATACTCAAGGATATAAAGAAAATCATCAGCTCTTAACGAACGGTTTCCGCAGCCAAGATTTAATAGCAGACTGGAAGCTCTACTTCTCTCACCCCAGCGAAGAGCATTAACAATTTGCACCTGCACTGACCTCGTAAATGGTTTCCCCTCATACCCTAAACAACCACGACCTGCAAATCAAGTCCTTGCACTCTCAAGATTCCTTTCTTAAGTAAAAACATTCAGGTTGAAGATGAAAGGTGAGATTCGAATCATTTTTTGTTTGTTCTCTGAAAAAACTTATACAGTCTCATAAACAAATAAGGTATTTTTACTTATTACCTGAAATAAATATAATTTGTTCAATAAAACCACTTGCTTATCAAAAAAAAAAAAAAATGTAAGGAAAAATCAAGATATTTGAACAATTACTGATGAGTAATACCAGTCGAGGTTGTGAAAGCTCGGAAGTTTTCAAGTTTGTCAGCAACAGTTTTTTGTCTCTGTATGATAACAATAATTAGTTAGAAAGAATAATTCACTCTGTTTGATTCTCGGAAAATTGACAGACAAGAAATTTCACTATTTTGAATCAATAAACATAACTCTTCTGAATAAGAAAATCCACATCAATCAATAGGAAGGAAAGAATCACACATTCAGATACCTTTGATTTACAAAATGACTGTGCAATTGACTGCAAGCGGATTGTCAGTCTACAGAACAAGTTTAGAATTAATTAGCCCATGGTGTTCTTCAATATATATATATATATACATACACACATACATATGTATTTACACACACATAGATACAATACTCACAGAGATCTGCGCATGCTTTGGGACTTTGTTGAGAAGAGCTGTGTTGAAGTGAAGAAGCGCAGAGGAATCGCCGGTACGGCAGCGAGTCGGCTAATACAGCGTCTTTCGCTAAAACCTGGGACGAAATGAATTTTGGGCCTCCTTGATACATTTCCGGCCCATGTCTGTCTCTCGACCGAATCCTCCTTTTTGTGTGTACCCTTTATTTTATTTTGTTAAAATTTTATTTTATTAATCGAATGTTAAATTTTATTAAAACAAAATAACTATTCTGAACTTTGTATCAGGTTTTCACTCAAGGGACTTTTTTTTTTCATAAAATTTGGCCTAGAATGCATTGAGAATTCATTTCAACTTTACATTTGTTTTGTATATATCCCAGAATGAAAAAAGAGAGAAAAAAAAAAAAAATTGAAGTTAGCTATTCAAGCAAGGTTTGAAATACAAAATAATGTTAATAATATATACTATTAAACATATAAATTAAAATATTTTTACCATGGCTTTTCCTACCAAAATAAGTAAAATGACTAGACTTGTTTCATCCCTCCTCCTTTCTGTAATGCTTTCAAGAAAACTCCGTCAACATGAGCTCTACATATATTCAATCCAATGATTAAATATAAAAGATGAATTATATGATTCATTTAAATTTTCATAGTTCACACAACTAATTTGCTCATGAGAAGTTTACCTCATATTATTCATATCCTCATTTGAGTTGCTCACTCAAATTGTTATGTTTTGTGCAATAGTGAGCAAGGTGACAAGCACATCCACAAACAAAAGAATCTAGCACAACATTCATTCTGGCACAGTCAAACTCCTACTTCAAAATTAATATGGCATAAATTGAATATTTATATGTCAAATATTGTCTCAAATTCAGGGAAACAAATGCCCTAATTCATTCTCATTTGTACCAAACTTTTTACATGATTACACGTCGAACACCAACCAATATAATAGCCGAATGAGAAACCAATAAAATGGCAAAAATTTTGCTTCTCCAGCAACCACGGAAGCTAAAGAACTCGTCGCTGCATGTAACATGCCAGCAAACACAAAATTTGAAGTGAATCTGAACCAAAGCTTCATTCCCATCGGTGACAAAGGCACACTCTTTTCTTTTGCCCCGGCAGCCTCTGATCAAGCGTCGGCAATTGGGAACCGGTGTTGTGACCACTTGGGGTATGCACGTTTATACAAATTCATGCATACGGTGTCGTTCTGTTGGAGGACCCCATTTAAGATACACTTCATTGCCCCTGATAATAGGGTACAAAATGAAAATTAAGTTACCTTCAAAGCAAAGCAATTTTATCAACCACAAAATAGGAAATTTCAGGAACAAGAAGAATATACATATTGGATGAACACGACTAAACTAAATTTTGAGGACCATTTGCAGTCTTTTAACTAATGAATATAATGAAAGATCATCATAGAAGCAAGCACATTAAGTTCACCCACTATCTATTTTTGTCCCCACCGGGGCTCGAACACTCAACCTCCCCAAAGAGGGAGGAGAGTTTATACCATCTAGGCTTAGAGCCTATTGGTATGGAAGCACAATAAGTTGAGCACAAATAAATCGTCATATGTATTCAAGACAATAGAACATCCCGGCGACCATTTTCCATCTTTTTACTAATTATAATGAAAGATAATCAATAAAGCACAATACGTTGAGCATAACTATATCGTTACTTTTTGCTGGAATACAACCACTTCTTCTAAACTAGTTCCCCAACTGCAACCCAACCTCAATCAACAAAAGAAGATAAAGCCAAGGAATAACAACCATAAAAAAAAGGTCATGATTACATGTCAGAAGTCCAAATAAGATTGCATTGCTCACGCTCAACTAATTATGACCAATTTGTACACGTATTCACAGTGCATCGAAATGAATGTTTCAAGACATTTTTAAGTGGTGGTGGCAGTACAAAAAATCTAAAAGAGATTTTTCTCAAGGAAGTACCCTCATTGAGTCATAGGGATGTCTATGTAAAACCACAGACACAGTGTAAGGACACTACGATATCATATTCTTGAAACAGAACGTTAGAAAAAAGAGAGAGAGAAAGATCATAAATCCACACCATTTTATTTACGAGAAGATTCAAGTCTAGTGAGCAACATACCATGTATACCAACAGGTTCCTTAATGCGACCGCGCCGACCACGTTTTGTGAACACTTCCACGGGCTACAAGAAATACCAAGATAAGTAAACCCCAATCAGGATAACTCTTGGTAATTATTTGACAAGATACATTTTTAGTAAAACAAAAAGGAAAGATAATGCATCGGCTATAGACTTCTCTGACCTTGAACCATCTCACATCCTCCGGATTATGAAACATGTATCTCACTGAGGCTTTCAATTTTGATACTCTTTGTGGGTAACTGCAGTATATGTGCTTTGTTTTAGCAAAACAGAATAAGAACTTCTTATAAACAAGCATATTGGACCATGTCATTCATCCTATGCATTAGATTTATGAAGTGCTTCTCAAGACACCACAAGTTTGACAATTTTTTATTTTTGGTAAGACAAAAAATCTGAGTAAAATTGAAAATACAAAGAGTCCATCTAACGGAAAAATTAACACAACTCAATAAAAGACTTATCACTGTGACCTCTATTTAACAAATGTCTAGGTTATATCTTTACTCAGCGCACACACACACGTGTACAATTAAAGGTGAAGCTACTGCAAAACCTTATGGAAGTCACTAACCTACTTCAAAGCAGTAGCAGCATTCATCATGAAAATGCTTCTAGAAGTACTACTAATCACACTAATAAGGGATCTAACAACAACATTTGTAGAGTTTCATGCAAACATTAATTTAATAAAACAAAATATTCAACCACAATTGTTTTTTCATGCCAATAAACTCTCAAGTTCGAAATAAATTACAAATAGAATAGGAGCATCAGATAAAAATATATACTACTATATATATATATATATATATATATCTGTGTGTGTGTGTGTGGAAGAAGTATTTCAATGCCGCAACTTATTAGAGTAGAGTTCAGAAAAGTAGAACTTGGATTATAAACTAAAGTAGTAGCTACAAGTTTACAACTGAATTTCAAACACTAGATCAAATAATGAAAACCAAAAAGAGCCATCAACACTACAGAAATAAGGCCAGAGGAACCCAGATCTATTAAACAATCATTAAAAGTAAAACAAGTGAAAAACTAATTAAATAAGCCTACATGGACTTTCTAGCAGAGAAACGAGGAAATAAATTATCTATGCAGATTTCACATAAAAATGTAAGGAGTTCGATTAGCAGATACCAAAATTAACCACATGCATGATTGTCGGTCACGCCTTATATGGAAGGCCAAAATCCAACATTTAAAAAGTGCCACTCACGAAATATACAGAAAATAAGGAATAAAACACAAAACTGATAAATACTAACCATTAAACCACTCTAATTTGATGCAGATCTTTTTGATATACCCAAAAGATCGTTTAGTTATAAACCATTAGACATTTAAATCCAAATTAGCACATAAATAGATTCATCTTACTCAAGTTTATTTTATTTTACTTTGGTTTGATCACGATATATAAATCTCACTTACCCGGTTAAAATAATTTTTTTCAGAATAATTTTATCCGGGTCAATACTTCTTAATGAGCCCACAGCAGCAACAGCTGGCGAGGACCTTTCTCCTTCATTCTTCAGAACAACTAAAGGAAGAGGAGGAAAAGAAATTGGACCATATATTGAAGCTATGGAAAATCGCCCTGCATGAAGAAACCTCTCCATCTTGTGTTTATCTGAATTAATATTATCAGAAGAAAATATCGGTCTGCCATCAAACAAAACTACTTCAGTACTTTTGGATAATAAATAAAAGAAAATATTTCTACATATATATACATATATAACAAAAGCTATTATCAGTAGCATATACAAATATTACCTGCAGACAATTTGACGGAAACCAACATGAAATATTAGTTCTTCTTTGGCTTTAATAGGAGCAGTATAAGTGTCATGCTTCTTTATGCTGCAAAAGAATAACAAAATGAAGAAAATACAGAAAAAAAAAATCCAAATCCTAAAAAAAAAATTAAAATAAAATCACAAAAACAAAAACAAAAAAATAATAATAGAACACTAAAAGAAATAGTACCTAAAGTGAAGGACAGATATTTTGGATTCATGTTGCAGAAGGCCACATGCAATTACAGGCATTGTCTTTGCAAGCACACATAATTTGGAAGCAACACCAATTGGCACTCCCTTGATATGAAGTCTTACATAGGAGTTTGCTGGTATGCAGTCATCTGCACTCCCTTGTTCCATATCTAGAGATTTTGCAAGGACATGTTTCTGAGTTTTTTTGAAATTATCAAAGGCAAAAATCCTTGCATAATCTGGAGGTAGGGACTCCTGAAATTCATAAACAGGATGTTCCATAGGACCATAGCTCCCAAACTGAGAAGAAAAAAATTTACAGAGCACAAACAGTAATGATCATAAGAATTACTTTAGGGTCCCATGATGAGGTTCTGAAGGACTTGAGGCCTCTATATTTGGCAAAACGTTTTCGAGCAGGAACATCTATCGGGGTATCCACCTCGTCCGGGTATTCTGAAATATAACAAAGTAACTACTAAGAACCTTGAAACAATATACTGGCACAAGAATCAAGATTCTGACAAGAGTAGAATCTCAAAAGGAAACATACAATAAACATCCAGCCACTCAACCATCTCCCATAAAGTTCAAGAATGAAAGATCACATAAAATTCGACAATTCAAAAGCAATCTTAAGAGTCTTCAAGTGAGAACAGACCTGTGAATGCACACCATAAAAAAAACACAACTTAACTTATTTCAAGCAATTTTGTTTTCTTGTTTCTTGTTTGAGGACCTATGGGTAAATATTACAGTGGGGTTTCAAATAGACACAGATTCATAATGCAAAGGGGAGAGACGCATGGAAAATATCCACATGCAAAATTAAGCTGATGTTATGTGTTCCATGAGAAACAAATGCAAACCCAAGATGAACTACACAACAGGCCCGTTGTAAACCCTGAACCGCTGGGTCTGATTAACAACAACAAGGTTACTGCACTAAACCCTACAATGGAAGGACTGACGAAGAAAAGGGAAAAAGAAACAGAGACACACTAATCATTCAGTGCTGCTCGTATAAGAAATAGAGTAGGAATCTTCACCTATGATATGCAGGGCACTTCGGTCAACAATTGGAAGGTAGACACTGGCTGAAAAGAAAACCACGTCCAATCATAGCCATTGTCTGTTTGGGCACTTAATAAGTAATCATTTTTATGAAGTGTGGACAAAGAAAATGGGCATCAGTATTTTATCATGGATCTAGTCCACAAATATTCTTCACGATTTAACTTTTAGTGTTTCACATAAACACACAAAACAACAGATGTACCACTCAGCCAGAAACTTAACTGGTAATACGCCGGACTTCAATATCAAGGTTCTAAATTCAAATCAACATATGCAAAGTAAAGATGGAGGTAAAAAAAGGCAAGTTTCCTCTTACGCTATAAATTGAACACTAACACTACTAACAGCTCCACAAAAACAACAATTATTTATCTGAACAAAGAGAAGTACCCTCATCTTGAGCAAGTGCAGATTTGATTTTCTGAATGTCATCTTCTATCTGCTCCTTTGTCAAACTCTCACCTCCCTACAAGGGAAGATAAAGCAAATTAAACCTTTAGAATCCAAGATGAGAATTTATGGTGGCATATAAAGAAGGCGGCATGTCTTTTGACAGCATGGAAAAGCAAAAACAGCTTACTCAAGAATTTACCAGCAAAAACAACAATATGCATTAGCAGCAATAATGAAACAGCAGTGTGCTTGAATATCAAACGTTGTGATGAAATTAGAATGTTAAGTAGCAGCAATCTAGTTTTGGATTAATTACAAAGTTCAACAACTTGTCATTTTCTGTCAACAAGATCTATATTCTATTTCAGAAACAATAAGAATCAGGACTGTACATGCAATTGAGTAACCAAGGCCTCTTCAAAATTTTGAGTTTGATAGATGCAAGTTCATAATCCAACCTCCCCACCCCTTCTCTCTCTCTATGCAATGAAACTTAAAAAGCACCGGATTAGATAAGTGCCACACAGTATGCAAAAACCATCCTCATCACTGGAAGCCTACAACAAGAGTATCAAGGCAATACCTGACAACAGTAACAGAGACACGTAACTTAATAATAGAAACTGGGGCTTATTCTTTAATTATGCATCCCTTATGATATATACAATCCTTCACTTCTTGATGCTTGACGGAAGGCCAAGAAAGGATCTCAGGTCAAACCTGAATTTTCAATTCAGAAAACCTAAAGGGTTTCAGCAAAGCAGATTAGAACTGAATTTTTCAGTACTACTAATATTGGACTAGGCGACAAGGGTGGACTAGAGCCCCAAACAGTTGAACACCATTTAGATTGAAGGATTTCAAATGAAGGGAGATATATTTCCTCATTCAAAAGGATTAGGACATTTACTTAGACTGATCAATCTAGTTTTAGTTTTAACAATGACTCGAGAGTATCATATGTATGAATTTCAAACAATAAGGTGGAAGACTTGAATAAATCCATGTCTTAAGGATTTAAACAGCACAATGATTGCATCAAAAGATGTCTCTCATACTTTATTCTAATATCCCCTTGAGTTTTAGAATCCAACTTCAGAAAACACTAATTCCTTTTTTTTTAACTCAAATTCATTCGTTTATCAAAATGTAGCCTTATGTTGAATGTCCAAAAGAATAAAAGTGGGCCGAATGGTTATGTCTCAGTCATACAATTTGCAAATCAACAGGGGCTTGAAAGTATTCCATTGCATTTCAAATCATAGTTTTGAAAATTCCATAGAACAATAGGAATTCTTATTCTCCTGTGATCACAATGGCAAGTGATATTGCGGTTCCCTCTTAGCTCTTAGAATATTGACCTGCCCAACATCTTTGTTGAGTCGAAATTTGTTCATCCAGAAAAAGAAGGATCGCTGGGTTGATTACAATTGTAGCCTGACTTTTCCATACACCTACTTACATCTTATATCTACTAATGTTTCCAATTATGATTTATCTTGATGACAATGATCTAATAATAAACAATCTTGATAAGCAGAGTTGCACATCAACATTTATACTACTAGTTAAGTGTATCCCGTATAATACTCACCATAATCACTGAATCAACTTCAGTTTCTTCATCTGAGTCTCTGAAACTAAGTGACAGTGAAGCCTGGTCATCATCAACGTCCAATTTGTCATTACCCTCTTGGCCAGGGAAACCACTATCTTTTTCATCCAACACCATGCCATCATCTGCATCATCTGAATCATCATCGCTATTAGAATCGTCTACATCTGAGTCATCGACAATCCAAGCAGCCTGCAAATTTAAATTTCTATACATATTATATCAACCCAGCCTTCTAGACATCAAGAAACATATATGAGAAGTTCAAAGGAAGTAAGAATGGGCAATTGAGGACAACAAATATAAAGAAGCAAAGACCTGGTATTCAGAGGTTCCCCGAGGAAGAATCCGTCTTCTCACTCGCTTCTCCTTTTCATTTCTATCAGCTTCAGCCATTTCCTCCTCAGTTGGCCATGTCTGATTAAAAAGAACAATATTGTAAATAGCAAAAGTTCCAAAAGCACAATAAGCACACACCCTCAAAGAAAAATAATGACATATTACAACAACAAAGTAAGTATGGAGAAACTAAGTAAGGTGAATAAAAGTTTTGAATAAATCAATTGCATACAAACCCTTCACAACTGAAATCCAAAGTAAAAGTTTATTTTTTTTATTGAAAAAAGGTAGTTTAATTCGCATAGAAGGTAACAAACAAATAAGCTGACCAAAACTCAACTAGGATGAAGTAATCAGAAAAATATGATTTGTAATTAAAAAGAATAGGAGAAGAGAATTCGTGTGACCAGCCCCATTCATATGGAATAAAGGCATGACTGCACCAGAAAATTATCTGGTAAGACAAACAAGGTTACACCGCTAGGAAGCCAGAGAATTTAAATATATATTTTTGCAAGCTACCTGTTCTCCTGCAAGAGGATCGGGAACATTTTCAACAAGTAAAGGCTCTTGCTTCATAGGATCAGGGTCTACAGAACGAACGACCTGCATCATTTTAAGCAGTAGGATGAATACATGCTGAAACACAAAATTAAATTGCTACATAAACAGAGAATTAAAGAGAGAATATCCTGACTTTGTAGCCAAAGTGGTATCCAAAACATCACGTTTTCTTTTTAGACAAAATGTAATTTTTTTTTTTTTTTACAAGTATAAAAAAGTATGAAGTTGTTAGTACCCAAAGAAAAATGACAAGAAAAATGCATTATTATTTTTTCCTTAAAAAAGAAAAAGAAAAAGTAAAAAGTAAAGATAATTACACGTGTATCACCCCATTTTGTATTAAATGGCCAAAACGCGCTTAGTACCATAACATAACCATTGCGATTGAGCTCTTTTTTTCCCCCCCTTTTTGATAAGCTAAAATCATATTTAACATTTCCCATATGAAACATTATCAAAAACATATCAATGATCAATTGGGCTCAAATATTAAGTACACTTTAACTAATTAAACCTTTCAAAACATGCTCAGATAAGAGTTCAATATAAAGTGCAATTACAAGCATGATACTTTAATTGAAGATTCATTGGGACTTTGTTCAGATGCATTACTGCATAAAACACCTTAACTATAGAATTTTTGGTGCTTTTAAACTGGACATGAGTCAGCATGGGGGCAGTAGATTTTCAACAGAGGTGCATATGAGTTGGTCTAATTCAGGCCAATTGTAAACCAAGAACCAAGCCAGCCTAGGTTAAAATTCCAAGTCAACTGCTACACTGAGGAGTAACAGGAGTTGGAATTCACCAACGCACAACAGGGTTATGACCCACTTATAGGGTGAGAACCTGTCTGTCACATAGAATGATAGAAGAGGTGAAGGGCAATTTTCTATTCCAGTATGTGGATGAACTAACCAGTCTTCTACGTGTGCAGAAGTTAATGGACCCACATCAGATACACAGACAAGACTAGCAAATCCATTTTCATGCTCATTACCCACTGTAAAAAGATTGCAGGGCCTTTGCGCTTTACTAATGAGATTTGAAGGACTTTTCTCGCTTGTTGAAAACCACATAAGACTTGCTTCAATCAGTAAACAAGGGGTGTATCAGAAGTCTGACAGGGCTTTAAGAGATGGGGACTCCAGTAGTAAGAAAGAGTCATTCAGTGAATCGCTCAATCAAATACTTGGAGATAGGGATAGAAGCATGTCGGACTATTTAGAAAGCATAGAAGTGTTTGGATGTTTGGAAACAATGGTCACAAGGACATGCCAAACAACTACCTTTCCAAAATGCAACACAATGACTCTTTAACTGACAATGTGCGTCCCTGTCAACAAGCACCTATGAGGCCCTTTTCCCCTAAATATCTTAGGAAGCAAAGAGGGCAGGTTTGTAACCTGTTTCGTAAAATTATCCCAAAACTAGGCATTTACCAGAGAAATCAATATCCTAAGTCGCTATATTATTCAATACGATCCCTGTTACCTATAACTTGCAATAATTAATCAATCACAGGGAGAAGGTGATGCATAGATAATCAGCACTAGATCAACTTAATGGAGCACTGAATGAAAACAAACCATGAAGATCAGATTAATTCCATTCTCAAGTTAGTCAGTCCAAATGTGCACCCCTAATTTCAACCATCTGACATAGTGTATATCATTGAAATATTTTGCTAATATTTTAAAGGAATTAATATTTCTTATTTTTATAACATAAAACCCCAAACGTTCTACTAGTTTTAATGAGCTAAGTGTACCTACCAATACAAGATACATTACGCTACATCACCTAAAAACAGAAAACAAAAAGTAAACAACTGTACAATACTCGAGCTGACAGCAAGTACACAGCTTTGCTCAGCGCTGTCAAAATTAGTATCTAAATTCTTGTAAGCTTTTTTCCTGGGAATTTACAAAAAGCTAAAAAATAACTAATGTTAGAGGAAAAAAAAGAAAAAGAAAAAAAGAATGAGCATTGTATATAGAGTAAATAAGTGATGATCAACAAAATAGTTTCTTCATAGACAGGAAATGTAAAGAATAAACTAATACCTGCAGATCTTGTACTTCATCTGAATCCATAAAATCCCCTCCTTTCCTCACAGTTAAAGGACATGGATCTTTGAGAAGTTCGACCTTGCATAACTGAAAGTCCCCGGCACCTGAAACATGAAACTGATCCAAAAAAAATAGATTAAAACACAAGACAATACTTAACCACAAAATGCATGTCAAAGGCTGAATAATTTACCAGCTGATTTACAGAGAGACAGTGAGCACGTAAATAACCAGTGAGACGAAGGGTGCATTTCCCTTGATTGCAATCATCAGCTACCAAATCAACCTGTAATGTATTAATGAACTAATTAAAACTGATATAAGTGGCCTTAATGTAGGGCTAAGATAGCAACCATTTAATAAAATGGGAGCTCAACTTTCAAAGCTTTAAGAGGACATGTGACATTTTAGGGCCACAATGATTGTAACAAGTATTGGACCTATTGGCCAAACACACATACAGCCACAAACCCCCTCACCCCCAAAAGAAATTGTTACAGTGGAAAAAACACAATTACACAGACAAAAGAAATTGCTACAGTAGTAAAGCAAGGAATATTTACTAACAAACACACACATCAGTATACTTGAGTCATTTTTTTAAGGAAAAAAGCATCCCTGTTAAATAAGCATTATCGAAATGAAAATGTTGATGAGAGAATATAAAAACAGGGATTACCGAAACCAAAGGCAATCGTAATAAGTAAACTAAAGAAACAATGAGAAAAATGCATCTAAGATGATTTAGTAATGTGAGCATCAAATATATAATGTTCTACCAGTACGGTGAAATGTTTGAATTATCTGCAAGCCGCAACAAAAACAGCAGAATGCTAAAACAATGTGATTGGAGACCGTCAAGATAACATAATGTTCAATGACCAACAAAATATATTGCCTTGGATAGGCACATAACCAGCCTCGTGTATATGGAGTAGAATAGATATGTTGAACTATATGTCTCCCTGCTTCATGAAATTGCCATATATCAACCCCCTAACTCCCACCCAAATCTTTTTTTTCCGTTCCCAATTGACAATAAATTTATACATGTTCCGCAAGAATCACAAATAGTAGTAAAATGAGGACAATATATAAAACAAATAAAGTAATATCCACAGCATGTACATCATTTCTCAAAATTTGAAGGAATTGGATGATACAAAAATATCAAGAAATTGTTGCCAACAAAAGTGTGACATCATCATGTCAAGAGTACAATATATTTATTATCCTAACCATCATAGGACTAAGACAATGACATGGTAATGATGAGAAGCAGAAAATGAAAATGAGAGATGTTTTCATTAGAAAGGATGTCTTATTTCAAGTAAACAATTTAACCAAGTAGCCTGAAGTCCTCATAACCGTTCATCTAATATTAGAACTTGACAGAAATGGGAATAGAACCTCTTGAGCCATAAGGTAGGGACGCTGGTTTCGCCAATGAGGAACTGTGAGCCTTTGCTCCTTAAACAGCCACATGAACTTTAAAAAAAAAAAAAAAAATGATAAAAGTTAAAATTGTATTACAATTTGAAGCCAGGATGTAACTCATGGAAAGAAAGAATAGTATTGTGGAGATTTATCTCATTATAACATCAAATCCTTGATGCTAAAAATCGTAAACGAAATTTTATGCATAAGTTTGAAGACAATTACCTTATGCAAGTCATCCTTTGTGTCCGCAGGATAAAACCTACAACCCTCAGGAAATTCAGCAGTGAGGCTAGAAATACATGTCTTCTTCAAATCATTTCTTCCTTTCAGATCATTAGGAAGATCCTAAAAGCAAAGAAATTATGTTTATGGACTCTTACACAAATAAGAATTCTGTCCATGGAAATCTCCAAATGCATACAAAGCACATCAACATAGAACTTACACGAATCAATACAGCAGTGCTTGGTAAACCAAGAGCTCTAAAAACAGAAAGACACTGAGATGCAAATGCATCGATATAGTAGTCGGAACTCTCTTCTTCACATGAAGAGTTTGCAGATGCTACAAAAGCAATCAAATCTGCAACCTACATGTTCGAAGTCCAAAACTTAGAAAGAAAAAAAAATATATATATATATATATATATATATCGCAAGCCAATAAAACTACCAAATATAGCACAAGTACTAGACAGATAAGTTACCTTGGCCATTTCCATACATGAAGACAGATCACCATAAGGTGCTTTTAGTACCTATTGCACACAAAGATGATTAGATAGTTCTGAAGTTTCACAAAGGATAAAAGATTCTCTATAAACCAAATAACAGTTTATAACATGACAAACAAAAGAAATGCATATAACGACCTAGACTGATATCACAGTTCCAAGAAAACAAATGTATATAAGAAACCAACGGTAAGCAGGAAATGGCTACAAGAAGTTCCAGCAAAATGTAAATTTTTAGAAATCATTCTCAATACTCAATGATAATACATAATCTGTTCCTGTTATATCTAAACTAGTCCGGCAAGAAGAATCTCAAAGATACTTTTTTCCTTGCCTTCACCTTTTCCCATCTTAATACAACTGATCCTTGCAATTATCAAAAAATAGTTTCTTAACATCAAGCTGACCATTATGCCTATTCTACCCACAAGTCTTCAAGGAAGCATAAACCAAGATAGGATTACAAAATATTACAGATTCTTGTGACTGAAATACCATGTATCCCTGTCATTGAAATGTTCAAGGAATAATTGAAATATGAGTTAGAAGTCTTTTGACTTTTGTCTGGGCCATGGCGACCAGTCCTCCAAAGATCATAGAAGGAACTTGACTACAAAATTCATTAATACCCACCCCCGTTTCCAGAAGAAAATAAAAATGCATTCTAGAATGAAATGCACCTGAGTAGAATGCTGTAAAAAATATCATCTTCCAGATTAACATAAACAGAACACTCCCATTTAACATGTTCATAGTTTCAAAATAATAAAGCAACAAAGGATGATAAAATTACATCAAACCACGAAAAGGAGAAAAGAAAAATCCTTCCACCACATTCATAACAATCTCAAAGGAAAATTATTGTATTTTAATATTATGAATATGTATGGAGTTTACCGTTGCCCTCAACTTATACTCAGAAGAAGCGACTGTTGGAAACCTAGCTTCAGTTCCTTTCGTTGATAACAACGCCAAAAGATCATCCTCAAGTGAAATTAGGTTCACTGAAGCAGAAAGGCCGAATAGAACCTATTATAAATAGAAGTTAGAACAGTAAAAGCCCGTGAAAAAGAGAACATAGAAAATAATAAGCTTCAAACATAAAACCATATGCAGGAGGGGGTCATCAAATACATATAACATGTCACTTTTTCCAGGTGAATCATTTGTTGAATGATACTTCAGCACAGCATGTAGAACCATGCACTATCACTCTTCTTATAAATATAGGGCATCAATTACAGTTAAACTGCAGCCCATATAGAAGTACAATCTAGCACTCCTGAAACAGTTCCAGTTTCAAATCTACACTGATATTTCTACATTTAAGCATGCGAGGAACTCATTTACAGGTTGATATAAATTGAGATCCACTAGTAGCTAATTTCAAGAAACCTTGTATATATTGGATCTCAGACTACTGCCAAAGATGAGAGAGCTGGGCTACAAGAATCCAACATTTTGAATTTTGATACTGTATTTCGCATTTATTTCTCAGTTATATCCACTATACGCTACCTATAATCTCAAAAGTTCGGGTTCTTGAGCATCACTTTACACTTGTTCACTTCATTTTAACACTTATGCTTCCATACTCTCTACTTGCCATGCTTCCTTTTGATATGATGGTTGAAGTTAACTGGCATCGGATGGTTGAAGTATCAGCCGACTTGAAGACTTTAGAGTACAACTTCAGTAACAGTTCAAAGTTAACTGCCCAAATTTATTATATTCCAAGGGCAAATATTAAGTAGGGAACCGACTTGTTTATAGGCCTGTCATCAGATGGGCCTGAGTAGGGAATATTTCATCCCTAACAGTAAGTTGAATGAATTTCAAGAATTACATCGGTCATAGCAACACCATCGTCCAGAATATTTGGAAGATATCCAAAATTTTATGTAGCCCCATCAGATATAATATTTCAGCCCCATTAAGTGTCTATATTTGTTTAACGTGTTAAGCATTTAATTTTTCTTGAATAATCATGCCTGCGTCATTAACTAATTGATTTTAACTTTACCTACCGACCCTGAATTTGAACAGGTAATTCGAATACGAAAATACTCACAATAACACGAGGAGGACTTGTTGATCCGCCTGAAGCCCTTTTCTCTTTCAAAATAGCTGCCCTTTTCTGCTCCCTTATCTACGTAAATGCAACCATGCCACCATAAATAATTCCACCAATAAATCTATCTGAGTAAAAATTACAAATTATCCGGCGTGATATGCATATATATATATACAAATTAAAAATAAAATTACCATCTTATTACGCTGCATTCGAGCAGCACGAGCTCCCTTGCCAACATTGCGTTCTGATTTTGCGATCTTGCTCTTGTCTAAGTCACCGACATACATATCAAAAGAGAGAATAAAATTAGATCAAATCGTCTAAATTGAAACAGAAAATGAAGATTTGATAGTGAAATTGAAACTATGAATGAGCGAAGTTTAAACCTTTGAGCGAAGTTTTGTGGATGTTGCGAGATGACTTCGAAGCGAACCGTGTTTTGTGGGTCTTGTTGACTTGAACTCGAGAAGAACCAGCCATCGCAATGCCGAGAATCGAACGTAGATGGCTTTTGCAGATAAACCCCAACGAAGCATGAGACGCAAATTCTTAGGTTCGCGACCTCAGCTTGCCTCTTTCAAAACCCTCGCGGCAAGACATCAGACAGCGGAGAAGAAGGGTTTTAGTTAATAATATATATCGTAGTCCGGACGAGGGTACTTTAGACTGTGACTTTAGGTAAAAGTAAAGAACGATAAACTAGCTTATAAAATGAGTCTTGCCCATTTACAAGGACAAATAACGCATGTAACATCCTTGCTCATATGGATTCGCAACCCCTCATTTTGGTTCGGTCTATTCGGATGACTCTCTTAGCTTACCCAGATGTTTTTCGAACTCGTGGTAATAAAAAATTGAGTCTGACTTTGACTTTAATAATAATTATAACAATGGAGACATGCCTATTTGTAAAAGAACTTAAATTATTAAATAGTATTAAATACTTACCTATTTATATTCTTTTTATTTTTCATGCTAATAAGTATGATACAAATATTCCTTATAACACTTTATTACTTCAATTATTAGTTACCAAAATTTATACCATGACAATATCAGGCGATCAATTATAAAATATTTTAAGGATCCAAACACCCCTGGAAAAAATAATTCTTTGTTTTTTATTTAACAATACCATAACATATGCACCATTGAACATGGTTCCTATTTTCTCTTTGAGATGATTAAATATACAGTATTTTTTCTTTCTTTTTTTTGTAAATGGCTAAATTTGAATTCCTAAATAGAAAATAAAAAATAAAAAATTTTCTCCATGTGTCGAATAAAATGTAAATGTCCTAATTAAAAAGTTACAATATTTTTTGTAATATCACTAATTTAACCTTCTTACATTTTTTGTTGACCAATATAAATATGTGTGATAATTTATTCACCACTCATAAAATAAAATTACAAAAAAGGATTGTTTTCTTTTATAAAAAGCGAGGGACTATATATATCATCCAACAGCTGCCAAATATTATTTCCTCACTTTTTGGAAGAAAAGTTACAGTGTCTTGTCGAAAAAAAAAAAAAAAAAAAAAAAAAAAAAAAAAAAAAAAAAATTTAAAACTACCAAAATATTTCTAAATTTAATACTGTACTATAATTTTTCGAACTATTTTTATTTTTAGGTTTGCCTCATTGACAATCAGACGAAAATTGACTCATTTTTTAACAATAATTACCTCTCAGGTTTGATAAAGTTGACAAAGACCTCCCACGTCTAATACATAGTGAATTAACATTATTGCCCCTTACTTGATAATTAACCAATTTTGACCTTGGAATTACATTTTTAACTTTTACTACTCATTTTATTAGACCAAATCACCCTTACCCTTACCTTCATATCACAGACGCAGCCGCCACCCCTCCACAGCTGCCGCCGCCACCCATGTACATCCATCACCAAATCCCAGCTTAATCAAGTCCAAATCCACATACAACATACAAAAATAAATTCCAAATATATATATATATATATATATATACACACACACAATAAATTATACCAAGTCAAAGGTCTCTGAAATTTTGGTGGAATTGGGTGCGTGTGTTTCTCTGTATATGTAGATTAGCAATGGTGACGATGGTGGCAGTGTGTTGTGGGGTTTGTTTGGGTTTGACGACATGCTTGAGTATAAATTATTTGAGTTTTTGTGTGGTGGTGGTGGAAATGGAGAAGGGCGGTGGCAATTGACTATGCCAGGGAATAACGTCGACTGCGAATCATTGCAACAATATTGTGACGACGCCCGTAAATAAGATGACGACGTGGGCTGGTGACGACGTGGGCTGGTGGTTGCATTCTGGGTTTGTTGGGAAGAAGATGAAGGTACATAGGTGGTGCAACCCCACGCACATTGACGGTGAGTGGGGGTGCGTGATGCCCCTTCCGGCAAAAGTTGGGGCCGGAAAAAGGGTGATCCAACCCAACAGTTCCATCCCCTTCCCTTAGATGACGACGACGTTCTGAAACCTCCGAAGCTGAAATTCAACTCAATCTGAACTGACTGATCTGGCTCCACATCATACATGTTTGTTGCTCATCTTCAACACAGACAAGAACGACGATTTGTTACGATTAAGGCAGCGGTTTAACAAGGTGGCCATGGCGGGAGGAGGTGGTAGTGGCCATTGTGGTGAAGGCGTATAGGAGTTTTGAAAAGTGGTGTTAGTAGTGGACCTAGTGGTGGTCGAGTTTTGGGAGGCGGTAGTGGTAGGTGAGGGTGAGGCCCTGTTTGGCTGCAATTTAATACTGCTGAGGAGTATTTTGGTCATTTAAATACTCTGATATTTTAAGAATTATTATTTTATTGAAGGGCAATAGTATCATTTTACATCTGTTTACAGGTTATGTTGGCTGCAATTTCTGATATGGGGTGTGAGTGTTCAAAATGAGGCTAATTTTTATCTGATTGTCAATAATGTAAATCTCAAAAAGTATGAGTGTAATTAACTCTTTATTTTTTTGCGGTGTTTATGGAATAATGACAAAAGCGAAAGAAAATGGAAAATAACCGATAAAATATCCTCCTTCGCGAACGGGTCGCCCGAAGCCACTTCTCTCTCTCTCTCTCTCTCCACTGTAAGAAGAACACGAACATGCTTCTTCTGCCCCCATCCATACCCACTCGCTTCCCATCATTTCACCTGAGTCATCCGATTCTCCGCCACCACCACATCTTCCAAGCACCAACTTTCGCCGCCACAACCACCGCCGTCGCCACCACCTCTATCTCCTCCAAACAACCAAACGCGGACAACGGAGACGACCTCGCTTCCTTCCATAACCGCCGTTACGACTTCACTCCACTCCTCCAATTCCTCTCCACCCACGACGCCACCGCCACCTCTACCTCCGGTTCTGACTCAGCTTCGCCGACCTCACTCGACCCCTCCGAGCTCCGACTGGCCGAGTCTTACCGAGCCGTCCCAGCTCCTCTCTGGCACTCCCTCCTCAAATCTCTCGCTTCTTCTTCGTCCTCAATCCCAACCGCCTACTCGCTCGTCACATGGCTTCAGAAGCACAACCTCTGCTTCTCGTACGAATTGCTTTATTCCATTCTCATTCACGCGCTGGGACGCTCCGAGAAGCTCTACGAAGCGTTCTTGTTTTCGCAGCGACAAACCCTAACCCCTTTGACTTACAATGCCTTGATTGGGGCTTGTGCCTGCAACGACGACCTCGAAAAGGCTTTGAATTTGATGTCTCGGATGCGTAGCGACGGGTACCAATCGGATTTCATAAATTACAGCTTAATTATTCAGTCTCTTATTCGTAATAACAAGATTGATTCGCCCATTTTACAGAAACTTTATGCAGAAATTGAAGCTGATAAGATTGAGCTTGATGGGCAGTTATTGAATGATTTAATTTTGGGGTTTGCAAAGGCTGGTGATGCAAATAGGGCTATGTCCTTCCTAGCTTTGATTCAGGGTAATGGGTTGAGTCCTAAAACTGCAACTTTGGTTGCAATTGTATCTGCATTGGGGAATTTGGGTAGGACAGAGGAGGCAGAGGCTGTTTTTGAGGAGTTGAAAGAAGTTGGATTGAAGCCGAGAACAAGGGCTTATAATGCTCTTCTTAAGGGGTATGTAAAGACAGGGTCTTTAAGAAATGCAGAGTGGGTTGTGTCCCAAATGGAGAGGAATGGGGTATCTCCAGATGAGCATACATATAGTCTTCTTATTGATGCTTATGCAAATGCAGGTCGGTGGGAAAGTGCGAGAATTGTGATAAAGGAGATGGAAGCCAACAATGTACAGCCAAATTCATATGTTTTTAGTAGGATTTTAGCAAGTTATCGCGATAGAGGAGAGTGGCAAAGATCATTTCAAGTTCTCAAAGAAATGAAGAATAGTGGGGTGAGACCAGATAGACATTTTTACAATGTCATGATTGATACATTTGGGAAGTATAATTGTCTTGATCATGCTATGACTACGTTTGAACGGATGATATCAGAGGGGATTCAGCCCGATGAGGTTACATGGAATACGCTTATAGATTGTCACTGCAAGTTGGGTCACCATAAGAAAGCAGAGGAGCTTTTTGATTCAATGCAGGAAAGTGGGTGCTTGCCTTCCACAACAACATATAATATCATGATCAATTCTTTTGGAGAGCAGGAGAGGTGGGAAGAGGTGAAGAACTTGTTGGGGAAGATGCGTAGTCAGGGTTTACTGCCTAATGTTGTTACGTACACCACACTTGTTGATATCTATGGGCAATCAGGGAGATTTAATGATGCAATCGAGTGCTTGGAGATCATGAAGTCTTCGGGGTTAAATCCTTCTTCAACAATGTACAATGCCTTAATCAATGCATATGCACAAAGGGTATGTTATTTATCTGCCATACATGATTGCCTATTAACATTATATGAGAATCTTCATAAAATAGTGGTTAGTAATTAACTTAACCCTGGTTCTTTACTGGTTGCTCTCTTTGCCAGGACATTTTTTTGTATCACTGTAAAAGGCAACTCCTGTCCTTTTTTGGTTAGACCTTAGAAGTAACTGAACAATTGTGTGTTAGCATTTTAATGGAGTTCATTACTGAAAATACATTTTGATTGTCCTTAATAGGATGATATTATTTTTTAGTCTCTCCTGATATGTCAATTACCACATATCTAGTGATAACACCCCCTTACATATGTGGTACAGAACATACGAGGCCAACTCAGTTTTTAATTGTCATATCTTTAAGTGTTGATATGGTAACGTGCATGCCTTTTTGAGAGGAGAAAAAAAAAATGATAAATGAAAGGCCTCCAATCTCCATCAAATGCTAAAAACTGTTGTTATACCTTAGGGGATGAAGGACTAGTTGTCATAGTCAGAGGTGGGAAACTGTTGCTGCTGTACCTTTGGGGACGGATGTAGTATTGGGTGACTCTATTGAAAATCTTAAGTTTAAAGCTTCAGGAAAATGAAGTTTGTATGGTCATTTTCACATAGAGTTTCTATGATGTCTTTGCCTGAATTTTGTTCCGTTCCGGGTCGCAACTTCGATTCGTAAATTGGGCTTGGATTTTTTACCCGTTTTCCCTTGTGGCTCACGGACCCTATTTAGTACTCTCTTGTAGCCCGGTATATAAGGGCGTTTAGGGTTTAGAGTGGGATAACGAGAGAACACTGAAAAGAGAGTGAGATCGAGAGTTAGGATTTGGGGACTGAAACTTGTAATCTCCTGTTACAGTGGACGTGGGCTTAGTATTAGGCCGAACCGCATATATATTTGTGTTCTTTGCGTGTGATGTGTTTACTTTTCTGTCGTGATTCTTGTTTTGTTCTTGGTTCGCAGCATTTGTCGAATTGTCGTAATAGTTTTCAGTCTTATGTTGGTGATTTCAGACTTCATCAAAATTGCTACTCACACCTAGCAAGTACAAAATCCACTTAGTATGGTTAAGTAAATGCTCTGTACATCTCACAAAAATTTAGAAATTGTAGCTCTAACCTTCCAAAATCACACCCATCCAGCCCAAAGCTCAACTGTCCTAGGTCCAATCCTGGTTTGTAGACGGTGAAAGTTCATATTATGAAAGGTATGACGGAACTTAGATTTTGAGGATGGGGGCTGTATGAGACATTAAAAAATAAGAATAAAAATGATCTATCTCCACGCTCTGCGTCTCACTTGTGATACCCCCGGATTTCCGAATGCGGGTTGGCCAGGCTCACACCCGAATACCCGAGAATATCAAAAACGAATCGGCAATAAACGAACACAGAGTACAAAAGAATAAAGAAGAATAAATAAAATGCTGACAAGAAACTAAAATGATAATCTAATAATAAACCTCAGAATATATTTCCATTAATTAATAAACTCTTCTGATACAACTGATCCTCTAAAATACAACTCGGGAATCCATACTGTGTGGACCCCTAGAAAATCCAAACTAAACAAATGACAGCAATAACTGTCTAAATCAGGAAACTGAATCATAAAGGAACTCTTATGTAACATCGGAAGAATGAAGTAGACTGATACCCGCTCAGCACGAACAACCTTTACTCCTGACGAACACCTGAGAAATAATGGTGGGTCAGGCCCACAAACAAGTTCTACTCTACTACAGTCCAAGCAGAGATCCGATACACGTATACATCTTAGTCAATCCAACAGTAACTAGTAGTCCGTATATATATATATATATACACACTAAAGGAACCTCACTAGACTATAGGGTTGTCTCAACCTGAATAGTAGGCAACATGCAAAACGCACATATAGTGGGCATGAGTACCTAGACCTACCAGGGTACACAACTACACTATATCTAGCTACACATCCCTGGCGATATACGCACCCTAACCACTGATCCTGAGACTCAAGCTCATATCATGGCACCATACTTATATATATAAAATCTAGTAACCATCCTATTCAGTATAAATTAATCCTCCATAAGTCATTCAACTTGTTCAGCTGACCTGACTTGAATATAAGTAGGACTTAACATTTTAGTTAATCCATTCCCTTATATAATAAATTAATCCTCCATAAGTCATTCAACTTGTTCAGCTGACCTGACTTGAATATAAGTAGGACTCAACATGTTAGTTAATCCATTCCCTTATATAAAATAGGTAGGACTTAACTAATAAGTTAATTCGTTCATAGAATGCCACCGTCCCATACCGGTGCATTAAATCACACAATTCAACAATTGATGTAACGATTAAGGAAATACATCAAACAATCCAGAAATAACTATGATAATATGATATCAAGTTATCATAAAATAGGAATGACTTATTATTTATTTAAGTTTCCTATATCATATGTCCTACATACACTGAATCTTATACATATGATGATATTTTATTATACCGTCAAATAAGCATTCTCCATATCCAATTCATCCTACACAATTAATCTCAATTGTTAAAACATATTAAAAGATTAAATTCATTCGTCTGTTTAAAACATTCAAATAGCAAGCATCATTATGATTGAGTCTATTTAAATTTATTTAAACCCAAACCTAGTTCCTATTTAATGTTCAGGAATCCTAGGCATGTTTCTACGTTCCATCATTCCACAGATATGAAATATACATAATTTAAATATGTAAAAATTCACACCGGAAATCTAATCAAAATCATGCATTTATCAATTCATAACACAAGAACAGATATGAACCAAATTCATAAAACCTATGTTCTAATCCAATTAAACATGCATAATTATTTAATTTTAAGTGTTTAATAAATCCTGAAATTTCTTAGGCATGTATAGAAACACGAATCAAAGGGAAAGAGATAGAAGAAGAACTTGCTTTAAACTTTCGGACTGAAAGTTAAACTTCTTCTTTCTTGATCTTCTCTCTAAAGGGTTTTCTCCTCATTCCTTCCTCTTTCTCCTTCTCTCTCTCTCTAGAATATATTACGTGATATATTTTCACTCCTTTTTCAACCTATAGTTGTGTATTTATAGGCTAAATAATAACCCTATTCCTTTTTTCCAATCCAAGTCAACTTAATAAAAAAATGAAAATATTAAAAAGGTAACTTAAAATATGTTAAGTATATAATCTATGTATATCCTTATTAATTAAATAAAAGATATACATTAGATTATTTATTAATACTAAAGTTACCATAATATTAAAAGGTAATTTAAAACATGTTACGTATATAATCTATCTGTATCCTCATTAAATAAATAAAATATATACATCAGATTATTTATTTATACTAAATACATCATTTATACCCATCCAACCTCCTATCCAAGTAGTTCATGTGACCCAATTAGTTAGCCCATTACCACTGACCATAACCATAAAATAAAATAAAATAAAACATTTAATCATTTAATTTACAATTAATCAAATACATCATTTAAGCACACAATCTAATTAAACAAATAATACAAATAACACATAGACAAAATATAAATAACACATAGATAAGTAGCCAATTAATCAAGTAACACTTAATTCAATTAAACACATAAACAATTAGTCAAATAATCAATTAAACAATTAAAAAAATACAATAAAAATAAATAAATAAATACCGAGACTATCCTTTTAAAATTAGGGGTATTACATCACTCTCATCCTGCAAGCCGTAACTCTAGTTCAACTTCCGCTAGATTTCACATCTCATTTATAAAGATTTGTTGTTGTGCATGAATTTAAAAACACTTCTCTTCAATCTTTTACAGGGTTTGTCTGAGCAAGCAGTAAATGCATTTAGGGTCATGAGAGCAGATGGTCTAAAGCCCAGTATTTTGGCACTCAATTCATTGATTAATGCATTTGGTGAGGATAGGAGGGATGCTGAAGCCTTTTCTGTCTTACAGTACATGAAGGAAACTGTAAGTTACTGTCAGTCATCGTTCCACCATCACCATTTCGTTCTATTTATGTATGTTTATATGTAGTATTATTTATTTTACCATCTTACTGCATGTTGTCATGATTTCCTGTCACGGCAGGGCTTGAAGCCAGATGTGGTTAGCTATACCACACTTATGAAAGCTCTAATTCGTGTGGAGAAGTATGATAAGGTATAAACCCTTTATAGTGCTGTTCTTCTTTGTTACCAGAATTGAGGACCCTCAGCTTCTTTTAATCATAGATAATCCTGTCTCTGCTTTCTTTATGTAGTCACCATTACTCTCAATGTCAACCATCTTTTTGTTTTCTATTGCCATCTAAGCACCGGATGATTTTTGTTCTTTTTCCTTGAATGATCTTCTTTTAAGTTACCAAAATTAGATGCTGCCATTGATCATGTTTCTAGGCACCTCCTGTCATTTTTCTTTGTGTAATAACAGAGGTGTAGTTCTTTTCTTCTTTATTTTTTCAGTAAAAAATTTGATTTGATATCTTTTATTTATTCATCAGACTATGCATCCAACATCCAGATAAGAAAAGTTTAGAATAGGGTGACAGGAAAGTTGTCGTGCAGTAGAACTGAAAAACTTCTCTTGCCAGTTGCCACCTTCGAAACCTCGTGTTAATGCCAGGCGTCGATACTATTATACTTCAGCCTTGCTACTAAGCTGCTCGCATATCGTGTTAATGCCAGGCGTCGATACTAAATTCAGAGGAATTAGGATCTAGGATTTTTCAGTAGATTGTAAAACAGAATTGAAGAAGCAAAATGAAAATAATAATAATAATAATAATGAAAAAGCAGAAGAAGAAGAAGAAGAAGAAGAAGAAGAAGAAGATAAATACATGAACTAAAAGTAAGGACTGATTCTAATGTGGTGGAATATATTATCTATGAGACTTTTGAGTATGCGTAAAACACTGGATGTTGTTTATGTTCATACATTAGCATTTTCGATGTTCCAGCTGTAGTAAACTTGTATAACAGTCTTTCAAGTGTAAGTAATTTAGGAAATTATCGTCAACAGAGATGAAAGATATTAGCAATGGCACGGTCTATGACAATGTACTCAGAACAAATACATGCTTCTATTAGAGAGCTTCAAAATGCCCTGATTGAGATATTCATGAAAAAAATAAAGATAAAATGGTGTTACCTCATTAACATGTTGATTCGCTCTTTTTAAGCTGATGTAATCTAGCATTAACATGTGTTTGACAGAAATATTCTAAATTGTTTGGATTTCAGGTTCCAGCTGTCTATGAAGAAATGGTCATGTCTGGGTGCACCCCAGACAGGAAAGCTAGGTCAATGTTGCGGTCTGCTCTGAGATACATGAAGCAGACACTGAAGTTATAGTTGACAGTACGAGTCATTGAGCCTGGGCAAAGTATTGGACTAAGTACCATGCTTGAGCTAGTTAATTACAGATTTGAGGTTAGTCGCTGCAATTCTTAATTAATGTAGCTTACAATTGATACCATGCCATGCAAGGTTTCAGGCATCAGCTTTTGCATCAATCAAAATCAATCTATGAGTTCTAAAATGGTCGGGTTTTATCAGGAACTTCGCTAAACATGAATTATAATGTGAATAAAGTATTTAAAATTCCATTAAAACTTAAAACCATACCATCATTTTTAACATGAATTATGTCGCGCGATAGTATTTTTACTGCAAATGTTTACTGCCCCTTTTCTCTAAATAATATTTCTCTGGACTAAATTCTTTGAATTATTTGCCGCGAAGGGTTCATGGCATGTCATTCTCCTTCAACTATGGGATACAGTCAACTGCAAGTGCATTGATGTTAAGTGTTTCAGAGTGAAGATGGAGACCACATCCAAAGGATAAAAAAGCATTGACGTCGCTCTTATCCTCATCCTCTTCTTTCCTCTCTCTTTCGTGCTCTAGCAATATATGTAACCCAATTTCATCACACATGCCAGCTGAAGTACCATAATGTATCTGTACTTATATATTTTTTTGCACAAATCATATTTTTCTTGTAATCTTGCATAGGAGTTCATCAACAAACTGACCTGACCTGACTTCACTAATTGTTTAGTAATCACAATAAGCATTGTAACAGGGAGTCAGGGAGGTTACATGTAAAACTGGTGGCATTTTATGTTCTGGTGTACAGCCTACAATAAGATGTGTTCTATTTCATTGATCAGATCCAGAGGGTAAAGCTTTCTTTTTATTTTTATCTTTATTTTATGTTGATCTCATATAAATATAGTTCCCTTATCTTACTGTTTCCATTCCATTATTTATCCCACATATTTTTCACTTTGAGAGTAATAATACTAGGGAAAGAGGAAGATTTAGAATTAATAAGGAAGGATATGATAGCATGTGGATTGGCCCGAGTCTATGGCCTTTGATAGAGCGGAATGGAAATATAGGATTCATGTTGCACTAATTGTGTATTTTCCATTTATGCTGATTGCTCAATCATCTCTGACTACAGTGTAAAAGACTCCAAAATTGTAGTTTCTTCTATTTTGGGGATGATATTGGGACTCCATTTTTTAATTTATGCAATCCGCTTGATATTTATAATAGAAACTGACACAGTTACCCTTTGAAGGTGAGATATTGTGGAGTATGTGAGTGCAATTTGAAAGACAATTGTTTCATTTTCTTCTTTCTTTTTAAATAAAGGAAAAAGCAGCAGGTAGAATGCAAGAACAGGGAAGTAGAGTGTGATTATCATTTTTTTTTCTGCGAAATTTCATGGCTGTCACAACTCTACTTCCCTGTTCTTGCATTCACCCCACTTATTTTATATAGAAGTCCCAGAAAAAAAAGAAAAAAAAATGAAGAAGATAATAATATTCACACCACTTATTTTTTACAGAACATTATTTTTATAGACTCTCTGAATTTTGTCCTAAATAGATGTTCACATTGTCTACACTTATTTTATAAAAGGAAGAATTTCATGATCGACAAGAAAACAACTAGAGAAATTGGGTTACTACTAATACTCATATCATGAGCCATTCACTGATTCACACACTTAATAATCCCTGCGGAGAATTCAACATGCACTCCTGTTGGAAAATATTTTTGAAGTGTAAAGTTTTTCTCTTTATAATTGGGGAAAATCTTTTGCATCTTCAATATATAAACACACAAAAATCATCTTATTAAAATTCCCATTCACCTCTACTCCCAAAGTATCCTCATTCTCACTGCAACAATCCTAAATTGGACAAGAGAAGGGCAAGAACCTTTTTTTTTAAGCACAAACAGGAAGCATTTTATGATTCTAGCAATGGTTCTTCATATCAATCACATATTCTATACTTTGAGAAGGTAGAGAGCAAAACCAACCCCTCAAAACATTATTGCTAGATCTCAATTCAATTTTTTTTTTTTTTTGGGTGATGCCTAGACACGTATTCTGATATTTATAGGGATAGTGGTCAAGAATGATATTTATAGGGATAGTGGTCAAGGATGTAAACGGTGTATAAGATCAGATATACAGTGTACGAGGCATTTGATTTGTATAAGATCTGTGTACTATAAAACAATGGTACCAGCAAAAAATTGTGTTATATAATATCAAAAATAAGGTAATTGTGTTATATCATATCAAAAATAAGGTAAAAGATATGTTTTTTTTTTTGACAGTTAAAGCAATTACTAACACACCCTACCTCCACCGAGTTTCGAACCCCGACCTCCCCTTTGGGAAAGAGGGGGTGATACCGCTAGGCCAATTGGTCCTTTGGTAGGTAAAAGATATGTTAATCCAATTAAAAAATGGTCAAACCAATCTTGATTATATTTTTGTCATCTTTATATTTTAAAAAATTTAAGATACTTGTCATAATTTTATTGTACCACATACCTAATCAGTAGAGATTGCCTATTCACAAGTGAGTAGGTAAGTATTGTTCATAAATATTTGGTCCATTTTTTTTTTTTAGTTAAAAATTTGGTCCATTTTTTACTCACATTCCAAACTCAAAGTGCTTTTTGATGTTTAAAAAGACATTTATAACCCCTCTTTCTATCTCCTTCTCTCACTGTATATATCTTTCTTCATAAACATAGTAGACCTTCTGTCAGTGGCTTCTTCAGTTTTTCACCATGATATGTGTTTTTAACTTTACATAATAGGAGTTGAAGATGCAAAAGATTTTCCCCAATTCTAGAGAGAGAAACTTTACACTTCAAAAATATTTTCCAACCCCTTTTCCCTCTATTTTCCGTCTATTTATAGACGGTTACAAGTTATCCTCAAGTTTTCTAACTGACTCCCTCGTGATTGGCTGGCCTTGTCCTTTCTCGTCTAATTTGAGCCCAACTCCTTTCATTCTTCTTCAGGTCCATTCATTGTCCTCTTTTTATTGGGTCTGCTCGGTGTGGATTGGCTTTGCTTCGATTGCAATTACCCGACCCGTTCCGAGCATCCTGAACCGAACCGGGCCCAGGTCATTAATGGTATCTTCATCTGCCCCCATAATCTCTCCCTAACTAATTAGTGTGAGATTATCAAAAAAACACAATCATGATTTGACGGCTTGGAGTGATGACATGGGGAATCGAACGGTTGGCTCTAAGACCCACTCTTTGAGATCTGCCGTACCATTTTCACTATAATTCATTAAGTACTGAATCGTTTTCTCTTCTAAAAACCCTTACCCCATAATTATTGGCTTCTTTTAACATTTCTCACTTCCATCCTTCGTCATCGTGTCCCTTGATTACCTCTATCGCCTGCCTGTATTTACCGGCGAGTCTCTCTTAATTTTTTCGGTTAACTTTTTCCTTGTACTTCGGCTTTCTCACTGTTACAGAGTACTTTGCGAACTCTTTTTTCAAGGTTAGTTTCTTTCTTTTGCTATTCTCTTTGAAGGAAAAGGATTTTACATTCAAAAATTTATCTCCCTTTCCATGGCTCCCCTTAATTTGGATGCCATTCGTTCTAAGAATAATATTCCAAATGATGTTTCTCTCAGGATTTACCCCACGAGTCTGAATGAGAGTTCCGGTGAGGGTCTCCTTCCTGGGGAAATTCTATTTTCCGCTCTTCACTTAAACATAATTAGGTTCCCTTTACATCCATTCTTCTATTATGTCCTCAACAAATTAGGGCTCTGCCCTCTGCAGGTTAACCCTTATTTCTTTAGGGTAATATCGGTCCTTCTTCTTTTGAATCGTGATAGAGATCTCGATTTGGATATTATTGACCTCCTTCTTTGCTATCGAATTAACAAAATTAAATTCACTGAGAAGTATTTTCACTTTTACCCCATTGAAAAACGATCCATCTGTACGGACAAGCTCTCTTCTGAAAAGGGCTGGAGGCAAAACTTAATTGGGGTCAGTGGAAATTGGCGAACTCCATCCGCTCAGTCTTTTCCTATCCCAACCACCTTTGGAGAGTGCTCTGTCTCCAACTACAAGACGTTTAAAAAACACCCAACTGATTGCTATTGTAAAAATTGCCTTCCCCGTTTCTGTAACTTTCTTTGTTGATGCCTTCAAATAGATCATGATGAATTGGTTTATAGTGTTTGCAGGGTCAGGCTTAACGTTCTGAAGGAGAAAGTGTTTAACAACATTCCCTCAGCCACCGAGCTGCTCACTCTTGACAACCTTTCGGACATATCCCTTCTTGGATCCACCATGAATAGTATCCGAATTCCTTCCTTCAACAGGAGGAGGCGTTTTGTCCCCTCTCCTTCAATTACAACTGTCACTACTTCAGCTACCTCTCCGGTCTTGGTTCCTGCTTAGGCTACCTAGCAGCTAATCGTTGGGCCCTCTATACCACACCCAACCGAAGCTCAAACCCTCACGCCAATCAGTGAACCCTCCAACACTTTGGCTGAAACTCCCCCACAGTCTTCCCCACAAAAAGCTCAGACAGTTGGGGAAAATGCTCAGAATGTTGGGAATTCTTCTCAAGGTGCTGTTGGCTCCTCTCCTGATCGAGCTACTGCATTGGAAAAAAGGCAGGGCAAGAGGCCTATGCCTGAGGGTGGCTCTGTCCAGAGTGATATGCCTTCGGCTCAAAGGGCCCGGACATTTTTCAGAGTCACCAGTTCTTCTCTCCCTCCTCTGCTATCCATTCTAGAAGGTGAATCTGCCAGAACGTTCAACTTATCACCAACTGTCACACCATGGCGCCCTATATTCAGCCGTGACGATGGGTCATTCATTGCCCCCACAGATTCCACCTTAAGAGACCCACCTACATCGTTTGCCCTTTACAAAGGCCTCTGGACTCCCAAAGACATTTCTGATCAAAATAAAATGACCTTGAACGAAATGTATAAGCGATTCCCAGCAGCTGCTGTTGAGGTAACTCCTCCTTTTTTTTCAATACATTTGTTTTTCATCTGATCATTTGATAGTTGTACTTATCTGAACGCCCTTGCCTCTTTGCAAACTCTTTATGGGATGTTCACCCTTCAGAAAACCACTGAAGCTCTGAACAAGAAACTCAAATCTGTTTTTGCTGGTCTGACTAGATCTGTTGAGTAAAAAAGGATCGCTGAGGCCAAGAATACAAAGCTGCTGGTTAAACTAAATGAGTCAGAGAAAAATTTGACTGCTCTGACAGCTGAGAGGGACTCTCTGAAAGCTGAACGAGATGCCTTTAAGGCTGAAAGGGATTCCTTCCAGGATGAAGCCGATGTTCTGAAAATTGAGAAAAATGTCGCACTGATTGAAAGGGATGCCTTGAAGGCAGAGAAGGGTGACCTTCAGCGCACTCTAATTGCTGAGCGGTTATCCTTTGCAAATTATGAGAAAGGTTCTCCAATGATCGCTCTGCTCTGCTGAGTGTCATAGGTAGAGTTGATGGTGGTATGAGAGCTCTGCACAACCGTTTCACCAGGATTGGAGCTCTTAGATACGCTGAGGGGTATAGAGACGGTTTTATTGACCGCTCTCCCCCTGAGGGCGAGTCAAGTTCCTGGGCAGGTCCAAATGAGCTAGATGCCTCCATTGATATCAACCCACCGAACTCTTATCAGGATCCAGATGCTACCCTTGCTGAAGACATATTCATCGAGTGTAAAGAAATTGCAACTTCAGGGGTGGTTCCACCTTTTCGCCCTACCCCTCTGAGCGTTCCCCCCATCACCACCATTGTTCCTGTCACTGTTGCTACCACTAACAGACCTCTATCAACTGATAAGGTCATTC